ATACATATACAAAATTTAGGAGATTTGGTATGACTGCCAATGAGACAATTATGCCTAAAAACTAAAGGCTAAATATGTAAAAATTACAGGTCAATCTATGACATTCAACGAAAAACAAAAACCAACACACTGTAGTAAGCTATAAATGGCACAGAGAGGACTAAATGTGAAGTCATTCAAAATGGAAAACATTACTTATATTGCAAAAATAAATGAAAAATAAATCTGACAGGCATGAAGGTATACACACACATGCTGCTAGAATTGTTCACTTTATTATGTGTCATATTAATGGGCAATTTCACCAAAGGAAATACATCCATGGGTAGTTATTGATGTATATTTTGTCAAATTGTCATCAATTTTCATATTCCTATAAGTTGTCTATGAAAACAGAGAACCACTCTTTATATCTAATTTGAAATCAAGGTTCCCATTTTTATCTCCTTTTTAATTGTTTTGTGGAATATTGCCAAGAAGCTGTAGACACAGCAGATTTTGATTACTTTATTTTGAGAGATTTTGATCCAAAAATAAACATTTCAATTACATTGAATGGAACAAATGTATCGAATATTCCTATTCCTTAAACCATCATTAATTCTATAAAGAAAAATGCATTTAAAAAAATTACTTAAGAAACAGTAGGGTATAATACGGAAACATATTATTGTCTATTAATGAGTTAACCATGCACATTCACTGGTCGTTCATATTTTAGGTTATCCTTGGAAAAAAACAGCCAGGCCTCAACTAAACATAGAAAAAGATTCCGTAAATGTTGGAGATTTTGTGTTAACTGATCTAGAAGAGTACGGTGATGAGTGGCCACAAATGTGAAAAATTATCACCATTTGTGGTCTGAATATGGATATCCAATGGTATAAGGGCAGCAAGTCGTCAGCATGGTCACCATGCACTGTTCCCATTCCCGGGCAGAGGGGAAAGAGGAAACCGTTCCTGGAAATTGTGTCAAGAGACAAGATTTGGAAAAGTGGGTTTCAACTGACGACAAATGGCTACCTTCCAAAAAATATCAAGGATTACATTGATCAATATAACATAATTTATTTTTTTTTACGGATACAATGTACTCGGATTATTTAAAAAACAAGTTTTCCCACCAAGTTTTATAATTCTATGAATAGCAGTTAAAAGAGCCAAAAAGCAATTTAAATGGCCCACCATACTGAAACTCCATTTCATACATGTATGATAATTATATGAATAAAAGGTGATGTGGGGGAAATAACCAATAAGACAGCAACATATTATGAAAATAAATTATCGTTAACCTCAAATACCACATTTTAGTAAGAGCAGTTCCATTAAAACGCACTTGGTATACAGGGAAAGCACATGCATTGAAAATAAAGTAGCCATCCATAGAAGGTGCATATGTTTTAATCGTGTACAACATGATATTTTACACCCATCCATAGTGGCAAATTCAATTTGCATTCCTTTGGTCCGAAGTATGTTTTGATGGAACTGCCCTTAGATACTATCAGTTAAATGGAGAACATAATACAAATAAACTGTACTTTAGTTGGAATTGTTATTTTAAAGAGCTTTGTAAAAAAAATATTTCTCTGTTTCATTAGTAAAATTCATTTTTGAACTCTTTAACTTAACATACTTTTGCAGGTGATAGGAAATTTGAAAAGAAGAAACTCTTGTAAAGATTACAATACTAATTCTGACTCTGACAGTATTGCATACCTATAAAAATAAGAAGATGTGGTAAGATTGCCAATGAGATAACTCTCCACCAGACACCAAATGTCGTAGAAGTTAACAACTATATGTCATCCTTCAACAATGAGCAAAACCCATACCGCATAGTAAGCTTGATTAATTCCCAGAAAAAGGTATACGCTTAATTGCTGTTTAATCTTATAAAAAAAACTATCAGAGTTTAAAAAAAAAGTAAGGAGTGTACTACCTGGTCAGGTCAAACTATGGCAACAAAAAATGGTGCTTCTGTAATAAGTGTCCCGGTTTGGAAGAAGACTTAAAGCTAACAGACTCAATTCCAGAATATTTTTTATTATCAACTGGAATAAAACATCAGATATCTATTCAGTGTGTTATTCTTCAAATAAGTGTACCTTCATAACACATTTTCTATCCTCATCCAGAATTCGCAGTTCAAGACTTGATGCTTAACTTTAACAAAAATCAACCAATTGGAAACAGCATGTTTTATATTTTTCAATGAAAAAGGAGACAATCAAACTTAACAGTTATAGAGTGCATGGATTTTTTTATCTTAACAACGGATAACCTCTTTATTGGCGTCTTCAATAAGTGACATAGTTAACTTAAATTTTACTCAAATCGTTAATGGAATTCATGGTCTTCTAATTAAAGCATTATGCTGTAATGGTACGATTTCAGTGATGGATTATGAATTTACATAGTTCAGGGTACTTTTATTTTATTCATTTTTCCGTACTGCCAATCCAGATCTATAATGAAACTTCAATAAAAAAAAGGTAAATTACAGTCCTAAGAGTGTATCAAAACACGAATAAAAGTCATTGTACCTGAACTTTAATGTTCTTTATTTGGTTACCATTCCAGAATGATGAATGTACTGTTATCATTCCAGAATGGTCAATGTGCTGTTACCATTCCAGAATGGTCGATGTACTGTTACCATTCCAGAATGGTCAATGTGCTGTTACCATTCAGAATGGTCGATGTACTGTTACCATTCCAGAATGGTCAATGTGCTGTTACCATTCCAGAATGGTCAATGTGCTGTTACCATTCCAGAATGGTCGATGTACTGTTACCATTCCAGAATGATCGATGTACTAGCTGTTGCCATTTTTGAAATGTTGAAATACTGTTTCCATTCCAGAGTTGTCAATGTTCAGTTACCATTGCAGAATGTTAATGTGTCCAGAATGGTAAATGAACTGCAGTTATTCCTCAACGGTAGGTACCCTTTTCAAATTCCAGAATGGACTATTCATTTACACCATTTTATGATGGTCCCACTGTAGTGTGATGAAAAATAAAGTAGAAAAATTTCCTTGACATTGGACAAAACACAAATGTCATGTACTGGTATTTGTTTTACATAACAAAATCCCTGTGGAGTTTCTAATTTAAAATCTATTTTCATTCTAGAACTTTTAATAAACTCTAAATTTTGATAATTTGCTGTTTTAAAATTTTAGTTAATAAATCAACTGAAAGTTCAATTTTTCCAGACAATCTTAAAGCTGCTCAGGTATCCCGACTGTTTAAGAAGAATAACTCTCTAGATAAAGAAAACTATAGACCTGTATGTGTGTTACTTGTTTGATTGTACATTTTTCAATGATGAAAGGAAATCATTATTACCTTTTAATCTTATTACCAACCATAATACTGACAAATTTTATGAGTTGTTTAATTCTGACTCTTACAATGTTGTTCTTAAAATTGCAAAATTTTGTAAAATTGTACTTGCTGTTGTTAATTAAATTTATATTGTTTCAACCATTAATATTTCCATATGAAATTTACTGTCTTCCTTAAAACGCATATCTTTTTCAAATGTATATATATATATTAATGAAAGTTTATAATGTTCACTGCATTACTTTGTTACTTTGTTATTTTGTTATATTATGAATACTTATATAGTATTTGTGTTATTGTTCACATACCCCTGTTGGGGTCTTTGAGAAAATAAAAACTTGAAACTTTTAACTTTTGTTACCTTGTATTTCTAAAATTTATGAAAGAGCTATACATGATCAATTAATGGAATTTTTAAATAAACATTTCCATCCTCTACTTCCGGCATTTAGGTCAAGTTTTGGTTGCCAAACAGCACTTATTAAGATAATAGAAGACTGGAAAAAGCCCTGGACGACAACAAATTTATTGCTGCAATTCTGATGGATCTATCTAAAGCATTTGATTGTTTACCGCACGATTTACTTTTAGTAAAATTGGAAGCATGTTGTCTGTCAAAATGTTCTCTAAAATTATTACAAAGTTATTTAGAAAACAGAAAAAAAGTATCAAAATTGGAAGTTCTTACAGTGAATGGGATCGTATTTTTAAAGGTGTACCACAAGAGTCAATTCTTGGACCAGTTCTTTTCAATGTCTTCATAAATGACATATTTCATTTTGTACAAAATAGCACCATTTATAATTATGCTGATGATAACACTGTATCGTATAGTGATTATGATATAGACAAAGTTGTTATAAGTTTAGAACTTGACTGATAGTTTAAATCTAATAAGCCATTGGAAAAAAAAACCAAACACACATAATTTGACATTCAATTTAAATGGAAACAAAACGTCTTGTGAAGAAAATGTTAAACTTGGAATAACTACAGATTTGGACCTAAAGATTATATTAGTTCATACGAAAAACTGCTAGAAAAGTCAAAATTCGGTGACCTTCTTTACTGAAAAATAAGAATATAAAATATTGCAACAGAAACATTTAGAATAATTCATAGAAAAAGTCCAAGTTATCTTCATGATTTAATTGATATTAAAATTCAGAAGTATAATTTTAGATCACAGGAAACAGCAGTACTCCCGAGAGTCAGAACTACCAGGTATGGTTTGAGATCGTTTCGTCAATATAATATGCTGCACAAATCTGAAATGAGCTGCCTAACCATTGTCGAATGGAATCATCTTTTGATCAATTAAAAAAATTGGTACAAATATGGGATCCAAATATCAGCTGATCATGCCAGTGCAGTGCATGCATGTAGTGCTTTTATGCTTGCGCTTTTTAATTTTTAATTTCGTTTGACTGTTTGATTTGTTTAGCTTTTTTAGTTCCTATTATCTGCTTACTTACCATTCGACTTTGAATAAAACTTTGATTCTGTGCTTATCATTCGACTTTAAATAAAACTTGCATGCGCCGGAAAGTAATCTGCGAAAAGTCGATGGTTCTCCGTACAATTTTTAAATCACATTTCAAATACCGCGGGAAATTTAGGAACTCTTTTGCGTAAAGGAAATATTGGTGTTTGGGGCAATTTCTGGCACATGACAGCAGAAGTACACCTTTATTTCCTTCTGTAGTGCTGCAAAAGCAAATACATTTACTTTCACATAACGTCAGCATGTTTCTATATAACTTTACGGTAAAATACACACTATTGAAAATTTCGATTATTAAGAAAATTGATAATTGAGGGGCCTGATGGGTTATTTTCGTTCTTCGTGATCGGCGCATTTTAGCTATCGTGATCCGTATCCACTCTATTCAAACTCTCTCTCAAGATGCAATAAATTTATCAGCCCATGTACCAGTCAAGGCTCTTTTAACACTTCAAGCTGACAAGCAAAAACTAAAAAAATCATCAAATTTCAGCAACGAGGTACTGCATAAAACAGAATGGGAAAAATGTGTACCAACAATTTACAGTGAAGCAGTGAAAAAATCTTTAGACCAAAATAAAAATCGAAAAGTAACAACGGAAGACCAAACAACTAATCTGATAGATGCAATTAAACAAGCTGCAAGGAAAACAATTCCGACAAAAACTCTGAAAATCCGCGGCCCAAGACTAAAAGTTTCGCAACATGCAAAAAAGTTGCTAACGATTAGTAAGCAGAAACACAGGATATGGGACCTACATGGAAGAAAGAGAGGTGAAGACACTTGTTTTTTGGAACTGAAGGAAGCAAAAAGAAATGTTAGAAAAAGATTACGGCAAGAGAGAGCAGCTGAATGTAAAGAATTTTATAAAAAACTGGAAAGTGAACCCAACTCTAAAAATTTCTACAGATTAATACGCAGAAATACAAACAGCACTAAAGAACTTGCCACAACCATACTATATGATGATCATGAACTCACCGATCCAGAAGAACAAAGGGAGGCAATGGCAAAATATTTTCAAAATTTAGCAACACCTAAGGACGATCCTGACTTTGATGAAAATTTCCTAAATAACTGCCAATTCCGCTGTGAAATTATAAAAGAAATCTGTAGCTTATCTGATTTCAGTTCAGACAAATTCAACCCCGCCGAAATTTCAGAGGCAATATCAAATCTGAACAATGGAAAGGCATGCGATGAATATGGGCTTTCTGCTGAACACTTCAAATCTGCTGAAGAGGTTGTTGTTCCGTATCTTGTTTCTCTATTTAACCAAATTTTGGCTGAGAAAAAAGTACCAATCCAATTCAAAACCGGTATTCTTAATGCAGTATGCAAGAAAAATAAAGATGACAAAATACTTGATAACTACAGAGGCATCACCGTCTCGTCAATTATTGGAAAAATTTTTGAACATGTTATCCTTAATAGAATACTTCCGAAATTAGATAAACAATCAGAATTACAATTTGGCTTCAAAAGTGGCCTCTCACCGGCAATGGCAGCACTACTAGTCTCTGAATCGGAACTTATATCAAAAAATCAAAAATCTAAATTAATTTTTGGACTTCTGGACTCACAAAAGGCATTTGATGTTGTTCATCATGATATTCTTCTCGACAAGTTATTTGACCAAAATATTGATCCAGATATTTGGGAAATCATTTTTGATATGTACAACAACCTTACCTCTAAAGTTAAATGGAAAAACGGATTTAGTAACAGCTTCCCTGTACGGCAAGGAGTCCGCCAAGGAGGAATTCTATCCACCCATTTGTACAAACTGTACATTAACGACCTACTTACAGAACTTGAAGAGAATGGTATGGGCCAGTACATCGGCACAAACTTTACGGGATGTCCAACCTGTGCAGATGATATTATACTTTTGTCATCAACTGAAGAAGAAATGCAATCTATGCTAGATACATCTAAAAGATACTCAGACAAACATAGATACAAGATCCATCCAACCAAAAGCGTTATAATTAACAAATATAGTAACTCAAAAACAACGAAGAGTGAAGTTCAATTCAAACTCGATGATAAAAACATGCCATCAGCTAATCAAGGTACACATCTGGGTATCATAAGAGCAATTAAAGACCAAAATAAAACAAACATCCAGGACAGAATTAGCTTAGCCAGAAGGACAGCCTATTCTCTTATGAACGTTGGAGTACATGGTACAAACGGATTAAACCCTAAAACTTCTTATATGATATACAGAGTATACGTTCTACCAAGGCTACTTTACAGCCTGGAAGTTCTGCCACTAAATAATGGGGACATTAAGTTGCTAAGAGATTTCCACGTGAATTTTTTGAGACAAATACAAGCTCTTCCCTCACGGACAGCAATTTCAGCAGTATACTTACTCTTGGGTGCGCTCCCCATAGAGGCAGAAATTCACAAAAGAGTTCTTAGCCTGTTCCACTCCATCTTTTCATCTAATAACGAGAATCTAAAAAAGGCTCTAGAGAGGCAATATGTCCTGCAAACACATGAACTAACTTTCCTTAACAGAGTAGCAGATCTTTTATACATGTATAATCTTCCTCCATGGACTTATCTGAGAGATCAATTGCCATCAAAGTTATCATGGAAATGCAAGGCAAGAGAAGCAATAAACAACTACTGGAAAGTGAATCTTCAAAGGGACGCCAATAGCAAAACAACACTAAAATTTCTCTGTATCCCCAATTTAGACATTGGAAAACCTCATACTATCTGGAATAGTCTACCACCAAATATTGGCGAACTCAGGAAAGCAACAATAAAAGCAAGGCTATGCACAGGGACATATATATTTCAATCACAGAAAGCTCGTTTCTCAAATATTAACCTTGATGCAACTTGCCCAATTTGTCAACTGGAAGAAGAAGATATCATCCATTTTCTCACTCGCTGTCCCGTTCTGGAAGGCATACGCAGAGAATCTCTAAGTGTTATCAAAAGAATTACCATCAGCAAAATTGGGCTAGGAAACTGGAATTCCAACTTTCACGAGAGAACTTGTATTGCCCAACTAATTTTGGATTGTCAGCAACTGGCTCTAAACAATATTCTCCCTCATGATAACCTTTTTCTTAATTCAATAGAAGAATTAAGCAGGAACTTATGTTATAGACTCCATCTAAAAAGAGTGTCTTCTCTTAATGTCTAGTTGTCATAAGGTCAGTGTGGTTGTACCGCGCTATACCTTAAACAACTATCTTCAACTTCATAAAATAAAATAAGGCTTTTTTCTCCAATCTAAGGAATAATCATTTATGCTTCTTCGACAGTACAACTAGGTCAGTGTGGGTGTTCCGCGCTAAACCTAACATCAATCTTTTACACAGAATTAAATGCTACGAAAATCTAAATGTTTAAATCTTCATTTAATTTAGGTTAATATGGCTGTTCCGCGCTATACCTTTAACTCCGTAAAATTAAACAACTGAAACAACGTTTATCTTTAATCTAAAGTCATCATAAAGGTTTTTGGACAGAGCAACTAGGTCAGTGTGGGTGTTCCGCGCTAAACATATCAATCCTTTACGTAAAATTAAATGCTGAGAAAATCCATGAAATTTTAGAATAACTGGTCAGTGTGGTTGTGCCGCGCTATACCTATAGTTGGAATAAATGTACATGTTTACCGTTAGCTTTAATACCCAGTAGCTTCACATATATATATATATAACAGATAGATAATGGCTATGCATAATTAGATCGCTTAGGACATATAAGCTTATATGCATGATTTTATTGATTTTATATCGCCTAGTAATGCTCATAGACAGATGTAGTAACTCCAGCATGTAGCAGGCAGGAAGCTGAAAACTCGTTATTTTTTACCTTTAAGTAACATTGTTTAGTAAATGTAAAGATTTTTTACTATAATGCATGCCCTGTAAATAATATTCAAAACTTTTTTATTTTTAAAAATTTTATTAATAACTTTTAAACTGTGACCCATTTTTAATGTACATAGAAGTTATTATTAGTATCTTTTCAGGGATTTAACTGTACATAATGTTATTTTTAAATAGTTAGGTATTCACTTAATAATTTTTATAAGGATTAACCAACCTTAATTCAGTAAGGTTGGTGTACTCCAACTATTGGAGGAAGATATAGAGGAAAGAAGAAGATCCGTTTTTCTACAGATTTTTTTTTTATATTTTCGTGATCCGTGATGATGGAAATTTATTTTCTGTGAATCGTGATTGACAAAAAAATCAACTCGTGAATCGTGATGAGACCCCATCAGGCCCCTCATAATTAATTTTAAAAAATGACAGATTTAGGTCTACCTATATAATATGGGTTATTAGCTACATCGTATATTCTAAAAAGGGGGTACCATCAAAATGGACAAATAATTTTAGTTTCTACCATTGATGTCATATTGGTTAGGGTATATATTTACTCTGACAATATATTATGTCCCAGATTTACCTCACTAAAGGCCACCTATGGACCCTTCACTTTTTTTAAATGCACAGGTGCAAGATGATATCTGAAACCAACCTGTTACCTATTCCATGTATTCTGTACATTCCATCTTTATCAGATGAACCATTTCTTGAAGTATAGATTTCCTAACTTATTGAATGGTTAAAATCTAATCCACTTTATCATGTTTATACACATATATATATATACACACCCCGCCACCACACTTATTTACATCAAGTACAAAAGTTATTCACTTGATATGAATCTTCTCTATCTCTGTATTTTACCATTTCTTATCTTTAAAAAAATATGTGTATATACTGAATACACAAACCAAATGTCATCTTAAAAAAGAAGGGTTCTAACTTATGATTAAAATGCATCATTTCCCTAATATTTACAGTTTGATGTTGTGAAAAATGATATTTATGTTAGCAACATTATTGCCTCCCGTATAACGATTATATGCCCTTAACATTGAATTGAAATTATAAATGTGTGTATAGTAAAGTACAAATGTCATTTTATAATATCCATTTCTTCAACCAGAAATTTAAATTGCAAGTAGTTAATGCACTTGGAGTAATACTACCAAATTTTATTATTTGATATCATTCTTCCTTGAATTAAGAATTGTGAATTAATTTACAGTTTGTCTTTACTTCAAAATGAAATCATTAGGCATATCAATATATAAGGAGATATAGATGGAAGTGAGAAGGCAACCTCAAATACACAAAAAAAAAAAATAGAAAAGACATTTAGAGGTCAACATGTGTATACTATATGACAAGTATATTTTTTGAATATATCCCTGTAACATATTATCTAGTTCTATATATAAGAAAATAAGATTCCTTAGAAAAGACAACATTTTATACGAACAGTTTCTTGACAAATAATTTTACAATTTCTTTGATGTTGATGATGATGGATTTGTGATTAATTTCCTTTGGCAAATATTTTATTAAGATGAGAACATGTTAATGGAATCCTGCTTTGTACTTTAAATTCAGAAATTATTGAGTGCATTTATTATTGTGATTTTTAAAGAATGGACAAAAATGCAAGAGAAATTTATGTATTACTGAAAAATAATTACACCAGGGTTTTTCGATTTCATAAACTAGTCAAAACATTTACTAAATTTTATCATCGGTATAAGGACATCATTCGTAAAAATAACTCAACATGCAGTCATCTTATACATTCGGGTATTTCACATCCAATCTTTTATGGTAATATTCTTTACAAAGCACAAAAATGTCAGTATTCACCTCAAAAGCTAACAAAACCTTTAAACAGATTTACCGGTATTAAGAAAGGATATAGTTACGATACTGTTGTCAGGTCATTAAAGATTGCATATTTTGGCTTTAATATTGATTCACTTATAGGGTTTTTGCATCGGAATTAAACATATTCATTCTAAAACCAGTTGTTGGCATGACACGGGTTATGTTCTTCTCATATATTTTATGATGGTATAATACTAAACCCCTAACAGGAGGGATTGTGCCTGATATTCATATGATGAAGACATAATCTTTCACTCAGTTTTATTGAGGTCTGGAGCTGGCATGTCAGTAACTGCTAGTAGTCTGTTGTTATTTATGTATTATTGTCATTTTGTTTATTTTCTTTTGTTTCCTATTCTGACATCGGACTCTGACTTCTCTTAAACTGAGTTTTACTGTGCGTACTGTTGTACGTTTGTTTTTTCTACATTGGCTAGAGGTATAGGGGGAGGGTTGAGATCTCAAAAAACATATTTAACCCTGCCGCATTTTTGCGCCTGTCCCAAGTCAGGAGCCTCTAGTCTTTGTTAGTCTTGTATCATTTTTAATTTTAGTTTCTTGTGTATAATTTGGAGTTTAGTATGACGTCCATTATCACTGAACTAGTATACATATTTGTTTAGGGGCCAGCTGAAGGACGCCTCCGGGTGTGGGAGTTTCTCGCTCATTGAAGACCCATTGGTTGCATTCGGCTGTTGTCTGCTCTATGGTTGGGTTGTTGTCTCTTTGACACATTCCCCATTTCCATTCTCAATTTTAAGATTAATTATTGCAATTTCCGGAAAAGCTGCATACAGATATATGTATCAGATATCAGAATGTGAGTTCTCATTATTGCGATAATCAACTAGTCGCATTATTTCCATTAATAAAAATCTTGCAATAATATCTGAATTTACAGTATTAGACCAACATACTGAGCCAAAGAAGGTAACAAACAGTCTGCAGGAAGATATGTCACCTTAGTGACCTTACCAATGATGCTGTTTTTTTCATTTTTAAATGCCTTCATACTGTATTGATTTAAGTGGCACTGATCAGTCCAACGTAGATGAAACACACATCTGTCATACCAAATTATAAACCTGGTATCTTTGATGAGTTTTTTTTAACCCTGAAATAAATCAGTCTTTCACAAAGAAATTTTGTAATGAAATGTAGGGATTCTTCTTTGCCGAGTTATGACTGTACAGAATAGGTGTCATCAGACAAGTACTTATTTGATTCCTCTGTCATTCTAGAGATTAAGATATTTATTTTATGGCAAGGGATAAAATTGAAATCCAGTTTTGTATGATTTATCAGTTCTTTTTTTCTTACAGGTTTGACATAATGAGAAATTAAAATGGGCTCAGACTTAAGAAATTGGGTGAGTTGTCTTAAGTTATACAGTAAATTGATATTGTGTGTGAATCATAATCGGTACATTTATGTTATTGAATTAAATATAATCAAAAGACTTTGTTAGGTAATCATGATCTGGAAACAAAGGTTTGGAAAATAAACATCTGTGAATTTTTTAAAGAACAATCACTAATAATAGAAAAGGATATTGATAACAGGAATAATGATACATAATACACAGTAAATAACATGTAGTATATCAGACAATACGTGTGTTGTTTTCTATTTTACAACATCAAATTTGATGTAATGCAATATGAATCGTTTCTCGTTTTTTATATAGATTAGACTGTTGGTTTTCCTGTTTGAATTGTTTTACAATAGTCATTTTGGGGCTCTTTATAGCTTGCTGTTCCATGTGAGCCAAGGATCTGTGTTGAAGGCCGTACTTTGACCTATAATTGTTAACTTTTTATACATTGTGACTTGGATGGAGAGTTGTCTCATTGGCACTCATACCACATCTTCTTATTCACAGTGATTAGGGTTGGTCTTTAATATCCATGGTTATGGTTTACTGACAAGTTAAGGTTTGAAGCTGGCTAAGTCTACCTGAAGAAATCCAAACATGTGACAATCAAGTGAACTACACTAACAGTTCATTCAACAACAATTCCAGTCTTATGAAAAAACTGCAAAAACGATTGCTGGATTGTCAATTTCAAAAGAAAAGTATGTTTTTAATACTAAACATACTTTATGTGCCTGTCCCAATCAAGGAGCCTGTATTCCAGTGGTTGTTATATTTGTTTTTTGTTTGTTGTAGTAAAATGAGTAAAACAGACCATTGGCTTTCTCTTTTGGATTATTTCACATTTTGTAACATCAGGACCATTTTTGCTGACTATACAGTATTTGTTTTGCTCATTGTTGAAGGCTGCATGGTGACCTGTAATTGTTCAAATCTTTGTCCTTTGATCATATATGTGTATACTGTATTTGAATACACTGATAAGCAGTAAGGCACAAAGTAGATAAAGAATTTGAATTTGAATTTGATCTTTTTTACAGTTGTTTGATTGGTAATCATACCACATTTCCTTATTTTTTTCAAAGCTAGAGTTAGCGTTTTGATAGTAAAACACAAATCAAATTTTTGAATGGAATATCAAGAACTGAAGAAATTGAAATTATTTCATTACTCTTGAAAATTGAATGTTTGATACCTTTAAATATATATTGTTTTTAGGTTTAAAATTGTTGTTTATTTTCAGATTGGATTTTTCTTACTAGGATCAATTAATAATTTACCATATGTGATAGTTACATCAGCAGCCAATACTATCGCAGATAGGTAAGCTATCATTAATATTTTCCAAATCAGACTGATATTGCAGAATGATCACATTTTGAAATTTTTGTGTCGTTACAAAATAATGCAGTATTAAGGTAAATACACAAATCATCATAGATCTGTATAAATCAATCCAACAACAGGTCCTTTTGTCTTCAAGTGATAACCAATTTTTATCTGGTTTAAAGTTGGTACTTTAGCAAGTTCAGTAAGTATAGATATAAATGTTGAAAATTATATTATAATTACATTACATAAATGTTTCTTGACTTAAGGATTCCAACATTTTGATTGGCAAGTGACAATCACCTGGTGTTTTAAAGTGACAATTCATGTCCTAATAAGACACCAAAATCAAAATTTGCCTCTGTGGCAACATTACAACAATACATAGAAATATTTATGACCAAACATACGAAAATCTTGATTTGAATTTGTTATTTCCAATTTTTAGCATAAAAATGTTGTTATAAGAATTAAATGTTTTTTTGGTCTTTTTACAGGGCTGTAAAAACATTGATAATTTGCACATATTTGGTATCTTAGGCTTCCACGTCTCATACAAAATGAGCGTTATTTAATGCTTTACCCCAATAACACTACAAAGGAGCATTCAATTCTTAATCTATTTCCAAAACTCTAAAATTTTGTTATGTTTTATTTTGCAGTTTTGATCAAAGAAATAATGTTGGTGTTGTATTCTTTGCCAATGTGGCCTTGTCTGTCATAGTCAAAAGTAAGTCCTGAGTCATTAGGCCTAAATAAAATAACTACATTTAATATCAGAATTTAATTCATTAGAATATATACATACATGTGCTAGTTTCAGACTTTTTTCACTAAAAAGGAAATTCATGTTAGTTTTATATACAATGTTATATACCAATAAAATGCACACTGATTATGTATCAACGTCTTGGTGAGTTAGATATGCCTCTTGAAACTCTTAGTTGCATTTATGCAAGTTTCCCGTATTACAGAATATGTGAACATATCGGTATATATACTATTAAAAGGTGTGTGCTTAACTGTCACATACATTGATTTTTTTGTTATGGTAAAGGTTTTTTTTCAAATACAGTGAGTAATCAAAGATGAAAATTTCAGAGTAAGGTCTCTATTTGACCAGGAACTAAAAACAGCCAATATATTTATATAAACATAAAAAGTTAGCATAAAGATATTTCTTTGTGTCCACATAAATTTTGTTTTCCAGGTGTAAATGGATTTCTTCTACTGAAAGTATCCTATGGTATTAGGATTGTAGCCAATGCCATAATAATGTTGATAGGTAAGAATGAAACGGACTACACCTGCATAAAGTATGTATATCATTCAAGGTTTTCTGTGTTAAGATATAGCAAACTATAAGCCATAATAAAGCTATGTTGAACAAGCAAACAAGCTCAAATTTCTCTTATGGTTTCTTATTTTTCCATCTTTGTAAAATCTTTCAAGTGATTGTTTTATTATCATTGTTGAAGCTGTTGTTATAGTAGGGAGTTTTCTGTATTGGTTAAGTTGACATGTTTCTGGTAATATTAAGGTGAGGTCACATCTAAAAAAAAAACAGAGCTCACTGTATTTTAAAATTTTTATTTAATGTGAAAAGGAATGTAACAACAAATACAAAAAGAAATTTAAAAACTTTTTTTAAATTCCATCAGCTAATTCATTCATAATGTTAAGTGATATGACAGGGGTTCAAATAAGCGGTGGTCCGAGGTCCGCGACCTTCCACTGTTGCAATCAGACTTTTGTTTTGGTTACTAGCTATGCCCAACAGACCTTCGATTTGAAAGAAAATAAAAATTAACTTTGCCAAACTTTTTAACCATCAGTATCGTCATTTCAAAGCCATATTATTATTGAAATTGAGATAATAAAATGTTTCATCCCTGACCTTGCCGACGAGTGATAAAAGTTATTTTTAACCTTGTATTTCTTGGAAACACAAGGTTATAAATAGATGCGATAAGTCACGTGACAAATCTTTTAAACATTTTTGAACAAAGTGAATCTGTTTCAAAGAAATGAAGATCTCACAAAAGACCAAAAGACGATCGTGAAAAACAGGAACGCAAATTTAAGCCCCTTGGGAAAATCGATCGACCGTGGCTATATTTTGATGAATTGACTGGTCTAATGTAGTGTACATACTGCCAGAAGTTCCCCACCCGTTCAGAAAAAGAAAGTGCACTTGTAAGGGGAACACAAAATCTTAAAATAGACCCAATAAAAATACACAAAGTGACACCCCAGCATTTATCTTGTTTAAAGCAGTGGATCCATGAAAGTGACCCAAATTTTAAGTCTAAAGATTTATTGTCAGACACTTAACTTGGACAATGTATTCTCAGGCAGCAATGTAGGCATGATCATTTAAATAGATATAAGGTTCTCTTCAACACTGCATACAGTGTTGCAAAAAAAGGGAAACCCTTCAGTGACTATGAATTTATTCTTGAAATCCATAGAAAAATGGTGTTGATATTGGTAAGCAGTACTTCAATATTGGAGGTTGTAAACTGTTTATACACTGGATAGTCCATTATATGAGAAACGAGATGAGTTTATGAGTTATGAAGTATTTCATATAAAAGTAGGACCTGGGATTTAGGTTGTGGACCTTTCAGTTTGGAGTGTCAAAGGTCCTGGACCTTCCAGTACTTAATGTTAATTTGAACCCCTGATATGAATTTATAATTTGATAATTTGATGAAGTTGCTGATCTAATTTCTGGATAGTTTGGTTAAATTTTTTTATTTATTATACACTAACATTAGTACCTCCACCCAAATATTTTCCCTGTCAAAATTGTCTATATACTAATAAACTTTTCCCATTTTTTTTTTGGCAATTCTTTTTTACCCCCTTTTGGTCATATAGCTCTCAATGGTTCTACATATTAAATGTTATACATCAATGGTTCTACATATTAAATATTATACATCAATGGTTCTACATATTAAATATTATACATCAATGGTTCTACATATTAAATATTATACATCAATGGTTCTACATATTAAATATTATACATCAATGGTTCTACATATTAAATATTATACATCACAGATGCACAGAATTTCTAAAGTGTTATTTTTTATTTAGATTGAAAATTCTGACACTGTGTATATAATGCATATTGTGACTGTTACTGTTCCTACTAAAAACAATTGCTTGTTTAATCTACATGAAAATTTATAAAGTATTAAGATCATGAAATCCTAATGTGTATGTGATGAAGATAATTTCTGTTCTTTTCGTATAACCCATACATCACCAATTCTAGTTAGAAGTACAAAACGTACATCAGACCTGCCAACTATTCCGATTTATGGGGGATATTCCCCATGAGAGGTGTTGACCTGAATTTTAAAATTCTTTATTTTATAAACTGAACACCTCAAAACAGGCATTCAAATGAGTTAAAAGGATATTTAAGCACATACATACTCATTGACACAATATAGTAGTAGATTAAAAACACTTATGACAATAAAAGAGAAGCATAAGTTCCTCATGTACTTAAAATCTCCCATGGAGATTTTGAAAAGTTGGCAGGTATGCGTACATTATTTGTCATTACACATTCTTTTTTTTCTTTTCACATTAGATTTTGGGTAACCATAAACTGTGGTTGTATAAAGGGTACCTAAACTTGTTTTTATTGATGAATTCGGTTTTATATCTTTAACAGGATTATTTGGTGTGGCCTTTGCCTTTGATTTCTGGTTTGCAATTGTATGCATAGTAAGTATAGATACAACAAGTAAAGTGATAGAAATATAGATAAGTAATGGAATACATTTCATAGATAGTGGCAAACCATGAATTTCTGTACTCGTAGAATTCTTTTCTGTTGGGTGATCAATCACTGACAATGTTTAATTATATGTAGAAGGTAAATTGTGAAAATGTCCAGTAAATGTGAATTTCAACCCTGTTTAGAAGAATAAAGGACACACTTGTATAAAATTACAGAAAAATACAAACAATTAAAATTCAAACCATTATCTAAGTTTTTATGATAAGCCATTATGTTTTTCCTTAGCTTCAATATCAATATACATGTACATGTACTATTTTTGTACTTTGATTTTCTATACCATTGCAGGTTTTTGTTGGTGCAAGTGCTGCCTTTGGAGAAAAGTAAGTTATCTCATCAGGCCACAGACAACAATTAATTTCTCTATTTTTTCTTTATAACCTTTTGTCACTTTAAAAAAAAACATTTTGTTCAATCTTTTGTGTGTAATTTACAGTACAAGTCCAAAAATATATCCAACATTCTGAAAATTGCACTTTTACAGCTCACAAATTTGGCCAATACACATCCATACCCCTATGGACAAGTCAAGAGATGTTCCGAAAACTGTATATATCATCTTTTTGCACCTAGTCTGATCACTCTTTTCATATAAAAATCTGGAAGCACAAAAAACATTATAAATTAAGACAGGAAACTCCATGGGAATTTGAATGAAATATTAAGACTTTTTCATCATACAACCAAGGAGGTTATATGAGAAGGAGAGAGGACGAAAGACGATAATTACTCATAAAATGTTACCGCCTTTTCTGCAAGTGGGTGTTGATTAGTTGAGATCGATTTGGTCGCAGAGTGAGACTCTGTCCTAATTACACATCCGAGTAAGAACAGAAACACCCGAAGTGTTATAAACCTATTTATAAGCGATGCCCACGTGTTGGAGCTCGAAAAAGAATTTGATCTAGAAATATTCTGGATCTTCAAGACGAACGACTTGACCGACATGAATTGCTTCGTAAATGGTGTATATATATGGAATTAAAATTTAAAACAAAATATTTATAAAATGTGCAGGAAAAATGTCCGTAAATAAAAGAATAGACACTCTTTCCTGTGAGTGTCGTGGTATTTTTTTTTACAAATTGACGTATTTTCCATTTTTGTTGAGCCTGCGCAGAAAGCTCGACATAGGAATAGTGATCCAGCAGTGGCAGCGTTAGCTAACTTCTTAAAAGCTTTATATTTTAGAAGGTGGAAGATCTGGATGCTTCATACTTTATATATGGATGCCTCATGTTACGAAGTTTCCGTCAGTCACATGTCCAATGTCCTTGACCTCATTTTCATGGTTCAGTGACTACTTGAAAAAAAAGTTAAGATTTTTTGTAATGTTAAATTCTCTCTTATTATAAGTAATAGGATAACTATATTTGGTATGTGCGTACCTTGCAAGGTCCTCATGCCCGTCAGACAGATTTCACTTGACCTCGACCTCATTTCATGGATCAGTGAACAAGATTAAGTTTTGGTGGTCAAGTCCATATCTCAGATACTATAAGCAATAGGTCTAGACCGTCTAGTATATTCGGTGTATGGAAGGACTGTAAGGTGTACATGTCCAACTGGCAGGTGTCATCTGACCTTGACCTCATTTTCATGGTTCAGTGGTTAGAGTTAAGTTTTTGTGTTTTGGACTGTTTTTCTTATACTGTATACAATAGGTCTACTATTTTTGGTGTATGGAATGATTGTAAGGTGTACATGTCTAGCTGGCAGGTGTCATCTGACCTTGACCTCATTTTCATGGTTCAGTGGTCAAAATTAAGTTTTTGAGTTTTGGTCTTTTTTTCTAATACTATATGCAATTGTTCAACTATATTTGGTGTATGGAAATATTTTATGATCTATATGTCAGTCACGCAGGTTTTATTTGACCTTGACCTCATTTTCAAGGTTCATTGCTCAGTGTTAGGTTTTCGTGTTTTAGTCTGTTTTTCGTAAACTATAAGCAATAGGTCAACTATATTTGTTGTATGGAAGAATTGTTAGCTGTACATGCCTGCCTATCATATGGTTCATCTGACCTTGACCTCATTTTCATGGTTCATTGGTCAATGTTTAGTATACTTGGTTAATGTTAAGTTTATGTGACAGTTGTAATAAAGCTTGATATTTAGGACTATCAACATAATATCAATGATTAGTAAACAAGGCAAGACATTTCAGCGTGTGCACTCTTGTTTTTTATAAATATTACAACTGTGCCTGGCCTGAAAAGAGTATTGATTAAAAAGAAATCTACACATACCATGTGTATTGTCACATTTAGAGAGGTACTAATCTACATTCCAGGCAATCCTAGTATTAATGTACAAAATGCATGTGTTAATTTTCCGACATTTTACGTTTTATCAAGACAATGAAGTACTGTTTTCAACAAAATCTTAATTAAACTCAGTTTATAACAAATATTGATTTGGCGTGGTCACATTGAGAATTTTCAAAAATAAAAATTGTTATCATATTTCTTTATTTTTCCTATTATTTGTTTTTGTTCCTTTGCTTTCGGTGAGAGCCCGTCAATTTCAAGGGAACCAACATTAAAATATTGAAAAATAAGATGAACCGATGCAAAAACATATAATTTTGCACAGAAACAATTTAAAGAAAAAAAAACCTGCCATGTCAAGATGTCTACAGCATTCCACCCGGTGAAAGACTGTAACTTTTTGGTGGTTCTCGGACAGATTCCTCAGTTTCAATAAAAAAGATCGCTCCCAGAACGGTGACTTTAACAAATGTACCTCACATATTCCTATCGAGGATATAACCTACAATTTCCGATTTCTAGGAGCCAACATGGAAAGTAAAAATCTAAGTGCCTATGCCTATAGCTACAGCCTAACGCGACGAGAAACAAACTTTTTGCTGGCTCTCGATAAATTTCTCTCCGTTTCATTACAAATATTCGCTCCGGTCGCAACCGGTCACCGTAACGAAAGTATCTCACATATTCCTCTATCTTCTATGTTATTACCTACCAATTATCATGGGCAGCGTCATACAGGTGAAGCGAAAATTTTTGTTTAAAGCAAGGTGGAGTTCAATAGAAATTGTATTCTTAAATTTCTTTAAACCCACGTAACTTTGTCATTTTTTGGTCGTCTTTTGCGGTAGTTAGACGATATATTATCAAATTTTGCATCAAATGTTATTGCATAATATAAATACATTCAAACTAATTTGTTACGATAATTACACCTGTATTTTAATGACCCAGTCACCGATTACAATCATGTGACATTTGCGATTCTCCTAATCACAAGGACTTCGCGGTAACAGCCTGGTACATCAGAGGACCATATCAAGTGGGTGATAAACATGTCGGTTTCTTTATATTTTTATCATTTTCCTCTGATCGAATTGCTATCCTGGGGATGCTAATTTTATATCAAGCAGAGTGTTCACTCTCCTTCTCATATAACCTCCTTGATACAACCAAGCTCTGATTATTTAAATACTAAACAGATATACTATAGACATTTCTAATTGCCACTGGCATTAATCAATCAACAATAGAAAAATTAAAAACATTACTGGCAATTAAGATTTAAGTGAGAATATTGAAAAGGTCAAAGTCTATTTTAAAAGAAGTGTATACCAATACTAAATACTCTACTAAAAAAGAATGTTCCTTTGAATTGTTTATATTCAAATTCTGTTTGTTGTATTTTCAGTGTAGCTTTAGGATATCTGAGATTATTTCCTAGTAAATTTGTAAATGCTTGGTCTAGTGGTACTGGTATGGCAGGGGTGCTTGGATCAACTATATACATTATATTTGGTAAGTTTCTTAACGTTTTTGGACTACAACTTCATCATTTCAAAAGAGTATATATATTTTGTATTATAAACTCCTACAGATTTTTGTTCATATCCTTGAAACTTCAGAATAATTGTGCTTCTTGACAGGGTAAGCATCTCTTGCCCTGCTTCCATCACTTGTCAAACAATTCCAAAATTTGTATTGTGGTTTAAAAACAGTTCTGTGCAACCAAGCAATTGTAGTATATCCTCCATTTATTAAATTATAATTTGTACAGGTTGTGTAGTTGGTGCAGGAGGAGACAATACAGCCAAGTTAAAACATTTAACAAAGTAAGTCTCGTAAATCCTATGTATTTCTACATCATGTCAAAACAATATATTTTATATACTGTTACATATTTAAAATGTCTTTATACATTTTGTCATATCTTGGAAGAAAGATTATTGTAGTATATAAACCATTTTTTAAGACGTTCTGGCCACTAGCCTTCTTCAGTTTCTTTATTATTCTTCTTAAATACATGGAAGCCATTTACTTTCACAATCATTAAGATTATTGCCATTTTTCATATATTCTATTTTCTTAAAGTTGTCTTCTCAGGCCAATTCACACCAAATTTATTTTGAACTATATTGGCCTTCTTTAAAAATAACTTTAAAAAATCTTCCCCTTTGAAAATGTTTATTGGTCTTAATTTAACTTGATTAGAATGATCCCCTTGTTACTGAAGGTAGAAAATTTCTCTGATTGTCAGGCAAGCAAGTGAGGCTGCTAGGATCCTCTTGTTTAGCAGGAATATTTTAAGAATCAATCAGTCCCCATGGTTATAATGCATATTTAAATTCATAAAAAGAAATATTAAGCCTTTCTAGTTTGTACATTTCCACAAATTACAGGACAACACTAACAGGTAAATATGATTTCTGCTTAGTCCAACAAAGTAAAATAGCATAGTTCATAGTTCATACAGGTAAGGTTGATGTGTCATCCATTTTATGAGATATGGGAATTTATTTAATCATTAAATGACTATATATTTATTTTTAGTGTGTTTTTTTTTTAATTTAAAGTATATGAATTTCTATAATAAAAAGCAAAAGTACAAGTACTTATGTCAAGTGATAGATTCAGGATTTTCAAAAAGGTTGACTCAGAACACATATTATGTTATTTCCCCCTTAATCACATTAAAAGCAAAATGATTGAAGTCATTATTATATTGTCAAAGTAGAAGGAGAGATGATCTCTATCACCATCTGATTAAAAGATGTTTTTTTTTTGTTCTTTGACAGGTATGCCTTTTTATTGACTTCCCCTGTTGTGGTTGTATACTTGCTAGCCTATTTCTGGATAATACAGAGACCTCCAGAAAGTGAATATCTTACCAAAGACGACAGTGATATACAGAAGGAAAAACAACGGCTGTTAGATGATAGTGAAGAAGGGGAATTAGATGAAATATCAGGTACTGGTTATCTAAACATTGCTATTTTTACCTTATCTCTGCCCAATATGAGGTTTAAGGTTTTCATATGAATAAAAAGAGAGAATCGAACTGTTATCAAATAAAACGTCAATGCCATTGCAACCAAAATCAACATTTAATTCATTAATAGACAATAATGAGAGATTGCTAATGAACAGAGAGTTGCTAGTTTTTAAGAAAATTAAGGCTGAAGGTTTTAAATTTTGTCAAAAGAAATGTTTGTAGGTAAGTAAAAGCAAATTATGTCAGTATTATGATTTGACTTCAAAAGTTAAATTTAATTTTCAAAGAAAATAAGAAAGAAAAAAAAAAAACAAAAAGGGAAAAATTATTGACCACTATTGAACAGTTTTTCAAGGTAATGGTATTGCTATTTTTCTGATATTTTTGGATGAGATCGTTTTCAATGTGCATTTTTGAATAAAAACATTAAAAGTATGTAAAAACCATTATAGAAATGCTTTTAAAAATGTAGTCGCCTTCTTGTTGCTTCATATTGTTTAGGAATATGACTTAACAATATTTTTAAAATATGAATGAATTCTCCTACCAAATCACACTTTCAACGCAACGTAGACAAAAACTTAGACTAAATAATTTAATTCTGATACAATGACTTAAGAACCATTTGACTAGTGCTTTTCAAATTTTAACATGTTGTCACTGATGACAAAATGGAGATAAAATTTGATTTTGATGATTTCCACTTTTGCTGTTTTGGATGATTGATTGATTGATTGTTGGTTGCTTAACGTCCATGCTGTTTTGGAGTAAAGGTCATTGATTGGTTGCAAAATTACACTTTATTCATGCAAAAACTGCTTTTTCAAGTTCCATATTGACGATTTTAACTTTTGCCCTTCTGGAGTAATTGTCCTTGATTGGTTGTGAAATCACACTTTTTCCATGCAAAAGCTTAAGAACCATTTAAACAATGCTTTTTCAAGTTCCATATTGACTATTTTCACTTTTGCCATTCAGGAGTTATGGTCCTTGATTGGTTGGAAAACTGCGCTTTATGTAATAAACCTGAGAACTCTTGATCAAGGATCCGGAAATTTTTCCAGACAATTTCGGTCATTTTGAGATGTTTGAAAAGTTGGTGCCCCTTTTCAAATTGTCGATATCAACTTGACTATATTCATAGCATCAACGAACATGACGAACTTGTATTGCTGTTTCATCGCATTTACTAAGTAAATGTCTTACCATTACCATGAAGGACAGTTTAGGGAAGGCAACAGTCTAAAATTGAAACGATTTTAATGACTCAAAATGGTTAATTTCTCAGACATTGCTTACGTTTCTTTCGATTTGACAAAAGTTAAAAACGGAAGTTTGCGATATTTTAACGTACGAATAATTCCGGATTCATTTCCGGGATTTGTTTTGTTTATCAAATTGACAGGAAATCACCGGCTTTTTATGGCTTTTTTATTTTATTACCTTTAAAAATGTTTGAATATAACAAATAATAGTTGCACTTTTAGCATGAAATCAATTTGCATTTAAATGATTTTACGATTAAATATTAAATTTGCTGAAGACAATTTCACGCATGCGTATTACAAAGTAAATAAGGCACATGTGTTACTCATGAAAAAATACTTTTTTCTTCGTAAATTTAGATTTAATATTTAAATCAGAATTGATGACTGTCTTTGATGAAAAGTAAATAAATAATGAATACACTTGTCAGGGAACTTTAATGTTTTAAAGATATTATTCTGAGCTTGTGATCACTGTCAGGTGTGAATTCAAACCACAGGTAAAAAGTGATTACCGATCATTAGCCAATGTTTCCCGGAGGCATTGATATGGATATTAGGAGGGCCCTCAGGATTATCAAACAACTGTAGTGGCAGTTTTATTACAGGAAAGGGATTATAAACAAAAACAAGTGATCACAAGTGCAAAATGGTGATTAAGAAATCCTATTTCAAACATTGAGTCAATGAAATGACCGAAATTACTTCTGTAAAAAAATAAAATTTGTCCTAAATCCCAATTACTCGTTTAGGACAAATAGTTTCATCTTAGGACATGACTGGCAAATATGACCGTTTCCGGACCCTTGCTCTTGATCCTATTGGTGATTCATTTCAAATTCAAATTGCAATATATGTTGTTTCTCATGACAGGATGGAGGTCAATATTAGTTTTGATGATCTTTATTTTTACTGTTCAGGAGTTATGGCCCTTAATTGCTTTAAGAATGTCACTAATCTATATAAGAAAAACCAGGTTTATTATCATTTGACAACTTCTTGTAAGGTTGGAAATTTTATGGTACATTTTGATTTTCAAAACTTTTACTGTCTGTTTTGAACTGTTACTGTATAGATTGGATGCCATTACTATAACATCATATTAACACAACTTACTGGTAACAACTTTACAATGATACTTTATTATTGAACCAACAGTTAACTCTAAGAAACTTTATTGACATATTTTTGGAAACTGGTGCAACCACTAATTTGATACAGGCATATAAACAGGTGTTTGATTTAAAATGTTTAAGGAATGACTGTAATATTTTTTCTGTCTATGAAGAAATAACATCAAAAATGTGGTGCACACTGAATAACCCGCGTAGCAGGTTATTTTAAAGTGTGCACCACATTTTTTATGTTATTTCGAATGGACAGAAAAAATATTACAGTCATTTCTTATAATTTAATTCTTAATTCCATTTTGAACCGGAGTAAATCATGAAAAAACGTTGATGACGTCAAGGTCACATGACGAAATTATGTCTATGCGCTGATAAACAAAACAACGTCAGCCAATCGGAAGGCGCGTTACATCCAAAATTAAATTATTCGTTATTGTAGAACCTTGCTTCTGTTTTGATGATTAGAGATGTAACAAAAGATGCAGAGAAAAATATGCAATAAGAAAATTAGTGCAAGTTCAAGATTAATATTTTATAATCAATCAAATACACCCGTTACAGGCAGAATAATCAAATTAAAATTTGATACTTACAAGTGATTACAATGATTGCAATGATTTTTGTTACATGAATAAAATGAAGAAAGAAAAATCAGTGATTTTAAGCACTTAGCTTTATAATATCAGGATTACACTTGATAGAAAACACAGCTATATAAATAACAATATGTAACAATTTATTATTCCAGTTACTGAATACCAGCTAGAAATACTGCATCTCTTGATATTGAAACAATACCTTTTTATACAAAGATATGAAAGAGCATGCTGATATCAGCTTAACTATGAATATGTAAATACTTGGGCATTTTATGTGTTCTCTGTGTATTCACAGTTAGTAACACTTACATTATTCTGACAATACTCTAAATTGGTTTAAAAAGTGTAGGAAATATGTAAGTGTACAAGTATTAAAACAGGTTTGTAATAGCAGGAATTCATATATTCCGAGACCATTTATTCCATTTCAGAAACAGTAGAACCTGTAGAAGAATCAGCTCTAAAAAGAATATGGAGATGTTTTAAACTGGTGTCATGGGTATCTTTTAATGTGAGTCAAAGTTCCATCAGAAGACTACAAGGAATACATTTTTCAGATTTTACAGTATTTTGATTAACAGCATTGCTTTGATAAAGCAGAAACATCCACTGTCCTTCACACTTTCTTGTTTGAAGATTTTTGAAATAAAACCTGGTAGTGATGGCATTAACATGTTTTATGACTTTTATCATCAATGAAATCAAACATCACTTCTCATCTTGGCTTTGCTTGTTTTGTATTTTGAAGCCATTGACAAAATTCTGTGGTCACATTTAGAAAACTCAGTTTCCATTCATTTTGTTGAAGTCCAGATATAAATGAATCCTAGTTACATATTATGAGAAGAAATTGATTAATTTTTTAAGCTCATTTTGTATGTTGGATTTAAAGTCATATGCATTGACTGGATGCCATTTAATATAGTGCACTTATCTGTTTCTGTTGTCCACTTTTTATTATGTTTCTCTGGCATTTAAAGAAAAAATAACAGCTAGGTTATTGTAGGCATGCCATTGAAGTTTGATTATTTACTTAATCACTATTTTCTAAAACTATGCATTGATCTGTTTGTGTGATAATTTCCCATCTCAAGCTACTTGACTGAGAATGTTTTTTCTCAGTTCAATAGAGGGAATACCCTTACTTCATACCCCAACAGCATTGACGATGCCTAAGAAAATAGTGATATACAGATTATCTTTGGTCTTTCAACATGAGCATTTTCCGGGCTACATCTCATCTCAGGACTGTCTCACTTTGATGAGATTGTAGCCGAGAAATTCCCTTTGGTTCTCAAAACCATAGATAATCTATAATTCTTACTACTACTGATTTTGTCATTGGCATTTAGCACACCTACAGAGTTGGTTAGTTAGTGGTAGCATAATTATATCCAGAAAGGAGATATATGATAATCTTTATGGCTGTTACAGTATCACAGTATCATTATGTAGATTTCTGTAGGAAACATTTATAAATTGTTTAAATATTGTTTATGTTTACAGTTAGCTGCAGTTTACATGTTTGAGTATGTTGCTCAAGGAAGTGCAGCTAAAGTGAGGCCAAAGACTGAATACAATAAAGGATGCCCTGAATTATATGCTGGGCTGTCATTGTGTTATCAGGTAATGTGTAATAACTTTACTTCTATGATCAATGATAATACATTTAAGAGCAAGCATATTTTGTCAGGCACAATTAGTTAAGTTGATTCAACCATATGACAGAGAGGGCTTTAATATGATTATAAATCTATGTTAGAGTTGCATTTTTATCCAGAAAACTTGTTAATTTTCTATTTTTTGGTACTTTCTGGGTTTTTTGTTATAATTCATGAAGATTGGATTTTCACTTTCACTTTCAGCATAGAGCTTACTTTTGAATATTTATTAATCAGATGAGAGTGCATAACACAGTTTTTACTCTATTGCTGATTTACAAATTTGAATGTTACATGTATAACACTTTATCAGTCAATGAACATGCATGAAATATTTGCCACTAGACGTTAAGCAACCAACAATCAATCTTACCAATCAGTAATGTCCTGAACCAAGTTATGTTTTTAGGAAATTCTCCTTATTTTTAATTTTTATTGTTTCCCTTAGAATAGCTTATGTTATACCCTTAAATTTGACATGTTTATCTTTTATTGTAGGCAGGTGTATTCGTATCCAGATCGTCTGTACAGTTATTTAGAATCAAAAGAATAGAAATTCTGTCTGTATTACAACTTGTGAACATGATAGTATGGCTGATAGATGTCCATGTAAGTTGTGGGTTCTACTAGAGGTTATGTGACCACGTTAAGAGAAATTTGGAAAAAAAATATGTAATAATAATGCTTTTTGGTATGGATTACTTTAAAACCACACATCCCAAAGGATTTGCAGCAAATCTCTCCTCAGGTAATTTATTCCATGTGGTGATATTAAGATTTAAACTCAAATACTCTGAAAGTACTCATACTTTTAGAGTCCTTATTTTCATGGATTTGGTGGAAAAAACAAAACAACAAACTTTATTACTCAATTAAAAGGATATGCTCATTAATTTGGAATAATTGTGGGAAGCCTAAAAGCATGAATTGCAACATACATAATTGATCTATTTCTTCATCAAATTAAGAAATTTAAAATAAATGAATGAAAGTACTGTGGGAACTGTTTACCCTTGAAGAGCACTATAGTTCACCTCCAGTTTTTGGTGAGGTTGTTGTTGACCACTCTATAGTGTTTTTTGTGTTTTAGTATTTTCCATTTCTAACTAGAAAATATTGGCCAATCAGAGTACAATTCAGTTGTTGACGCATTCTTTGATGAACTTATCTATTTTAGTTATAATATCCGAGACATAAAAATTAATGATAAAATTCTAAATCTCCTTAATATCGTCAATTTTTAAAACTTTATTTTTTTAAATTTACCTGTGATATTTATTTATGAGCTTTCTCAGCGTTCAGCAGTATTCAATTTAAGGAAAGGGTTTCAATGGTTAAAAAATATACAACTGTATCGATCCGAGATTTAGCACAGGGCCCAATGTAAATTGTTTTATTCTCCCAGTGTTTTCATTGGATAGAGAGCAAATAACATTCTAAAAATAACACACCCGAATCCCTGTGATTTAAAATGGCAAGACATCTATATCTGAAGGTGTTTTTTTGGCGAAAAAACAGAAAGCTGACAATGATGAAACCAAAAAAATAAAAATGTTAAAAGAGGAATATGAGATTTATTGAATCCTGGAAATGCAATTTGATGGGAAAAGGTGATGGTGTATATTGATATTAAACTTGTATATAGATACTGTATAGGGCTGACAAATGAGTCCTAGAAAAATTAGACAACAAAAAATAAAAACAGAAAACTACAAAACTATATGTTATGACTTAAGCCATAAAAATTTTGCTTTGAGTTTTCTCTAAGATCTCTGGTGAACTTGTGTGGTTCAATAAGCTTGGTACAGCACTTTCGGTAATCCACTACATTTCATTCCTTTTTTAGTTGCATTTACTTGATTTTATGTCCATAAATGGCAGTTTAAAATTTCTAATAAAAGTACAAAATTTGGGCAAGTGGTTATCTCTTTCAGACAGGTAATATATGAGTATAGGAATGCCCTTTATGGTCGGCGTCAAATGTCTGTTTTTTCACTACTGTTAGCGTCAAATGATCCTTAATTGTTTATCGTCATTCGTCAACTCTCATTTTGTAGCTATCGTTAGCACCAAATGGAGTAAACTGTTTATCGTTAACGTTATTTTAACAAATATTTTATCGTCATTCATCATGTGGGGTACCCCATTTCTACCCTCATATATCATGCTGACTTGCCCAAAGAGCAAGCTGTTAAAAAATTTAATGTCAAACCCTGGCAAAATATTATACAATTTTTTAACAAATGACAATGATTGAAAAAAAAAAAATTAAGATTGTTAAAACAGACATTTTTATACCCCACGGAACTTTCCCCACGGAACAAAGTTTTTGACCCATCCGTCCGTCCTTTAGTCCTGTTCTTGTCATCGCAACTCCTCTTAAACCACACTACAGAATTTCATGAAACTTTGTAGATAATAAGGACATACTATGTAGATGTGCATATCAACAGGAAATTTTGTTTCAACTTGTTTTCTAGGAGTTATGCCTCTTTGAACTTAAAATTTTGACCAAAATATAATACTTCAACAGTTTGTCATCGCAATTCCTCAGAATCCGCACACCAGAATTTCATGAAACTTTGTAGTTAATTAGGACATACTATGTAAATGTGCATATCCACAGGAAATTATGATTCAATTTTTGTTTTATAGGAGTGCTTGTATGTTCAATGGTGTTAATATGTCCTTTGATTGAGTTAAGCTATTTCAGTTGATATTTTATAGTGTGTCTTTCTATGTTGTGATGTTACACTATTGTTTCAGGAAAAGGGTGAAGGTTTGGTACCATTAAAACATTTAAACCCGCTGCATTTGTTTGCACCTGTCCTAAGTCAGGAATCTGATGTTCAGTAGTTGTCGTTTGTTGATGTGGTTCATAAGTGTTTCTCGTTTCTCGTTTTTTATATAGATTAGACCGTTGGTTTTCCCGTTTGAATGGTTTTACACTAGTAATTTTTTGGGGCCCTTTATAGCTTACTGTTCGGTGTGAGCCAAGGCTCCGTGTTGAAGACCGTACTGTGACCTATAATGGTTTACTTTTATAAATTTTGACTTGGATGGAGAGTTGTCTCATTGGCACTCATACCACATCTTCTTATATCTATTAACTTATAATTTTGGCCTAAATATACTACTGCAATAGTTTATCATTGCAACACCTCTGAAACCGCACAACAGAATTTTATGAAACTTTGTAGATAATATGGAAATAAAATGTAGATGTGCACATCCACAAGACATTTTTATCAGTTGACTTTTGTAGGACTTATGAGTCTTTTAACTAGGAATCTGGTGAAATTTTGTTTGCCCAGTGGCAATGTGGGGGTGTATGGTATGTGAGCGTGCTCACAAAGGTTCCTTAATAAAAGAAAACAACTTATGACAAGTAATTATAAAAAAAAAGAAGAAAAATTGATGTCAAAATTGAAGAATACTATGCATTAAAATGTTTTCATTATCAAATTTAAACACTACTATTTTTTTTTTTAATTTTCAGACAAAGTTTATACCAGTTTACATATTACCTGCCTATATGATATATGTAGGTTTGTTAGGTGGAGCTTCCTATGTCAATATTTTCTATCTTCTACTCAATGAAGACAAATATCCAAACAATGACAGAGAGTTATGTATTAACATTGCTGCTTTATTTATAACAGTTGGTAAGTATGAATGCCAGCAAGAAATTATACTTTATGTAGTGCCACCAACATCAATATTTTGAACACTTCAAGATAATAAATTTTGTTAAGCGTTCTAGGGAAACATGTATTTCACCTGGGATTGCTGCTGTCAGTGTAAAAATGCAATAAAATAATGTAGGATCACTATGTCTTGCTTCTAATAACTTGGGGGGAAAAAAGGGTAAAGACAAAGTAAAATTTTAGCTTATTTTGTTTTTACTTGAAAAGTATAAAGATCAGAAAAATCATCCCACTTTGAGAGATAAGTTGCTGTTACTATGATAAACACCCCAAACCAATCGAGGTAAAAAGAAAATAGCCTGTTGAGGTTGTGCCTCCTTTTCATACATTTCTTTTTTTCATCGTGATATTGGTAAATACAAGGGATGCACAAGGAATTATGATTCACATTGTTGCATTTCTTACTAGTATTATAGATTGTAATAGGTCAATCACATCAGTAATTTGTTATAATAAATTGAATTATATAAGAACTGCCAACAAAGAATTCAATCTAATCCCTACATATTGAAGTCAATAGGGGAAAAGTATAAGATTTTAAATCCTATAAAACTGTGTAAAGAAGAAGTATTTGAGGCCAGACAATATACCATAAGAATCAAAGTATAAATTGCTGTTAAGACATCTTTTTTTCATATCTCTCATTATTTAAAGATATTAGTTCTTTATAAAAAAAAATGAATCCTTTTCTGTTGGCATGAAATATTTTTTAGTTCAATTTATGCAGGTAGCACAATTAGTCCTTAATTTTTTGCCTTTGAAGTATTGCTGTAATCCAATAAACTGGTATAGAGTTAAGTTTTGAGCAATTATAGGATGAAAACAAGCATATTTAGATACTAGATGTTAGTCTAAATAAACTTGCCAAAAATAAGAATTTTATGCACACTTCCAATATTACTTTGACTTGACCTGAAAGTTAACAGCTGTAAATACTAAGCTACTGATAAATACATCAAAATTAACAACAGGAAATTGGAATTACCAAACATATGAGCCAGTACCAACAACCAACTCCAACAACTGACTCCTCTGAGAAAATAGACATAAGCAACAACAAAAAACACATGATTTAGATAGCTAAACTTGGTACAGGGATGAAATGTAGTGGGGGTTAAAGAAGTTAACATGCATACAAATCTTGACCTTTGCCTATAAAGACCATATGTTGTAAAAGAAAAACACACAATAAAACACCTGCACAGTCAGCTACTAAAAGGATGACCACTAACACGAACAAGGAAATAAAAGATGTTGTGTAATTGAAAGTATGTCCATTATAATGAACTACTAGTGTTTTAAGTCTGCATTATCCAAATATGTGCATTACCTTGACATAAGAAGTCAACAGCAGACTTTGAGTGTGAACAATATACACTCAAAATATGTCAGTGTATTTTTTTTGCTTATTACAATCTATCTATTTGATATCATTTTTTACAGGAATAGTGTCAGGAACAGCTGTAGAAACCTTGTTATTCCAGACAGCATTGAAAAATGATTGATTTGAGCAGAAGTCATGAGTAAAACATTCCATTTGTGTCAAATTCAGGGTTGTCAAATACTACATTTGATTTGAACCATGAGATTAATTATTATGTACATGACAAATTATTTTTATATTTGTAATTTTTTACATTTTCTAGAAAAGTTGTGCAATATTGTTAATTTATTAAATACATGATGCAAAAAGTGAACCTTTATTCTGAGTTAACTACATGTACATATTTTTTTATTATCATTTATTTTTGTATGTGCTGGTTGGTTTGGATATGACACATTTTGAGTTTGAGTTATTTCTCTTGGCAGCTATGTGTTGATTTTCTTATTTGACTAAACAAATTTGAATAAAGTCTTATAGATCTTTACTATCTTGTAGTGATGAAAAAAACAAGGCTTAAAGAAATTAAAATTGTTCAGAAAACAACTTTTTATAAATTCTAGCTGTAAGTGTAACATATTGAATTTGACTGATTTATAAAGAAATTTGTGTATGTTGACCTCCAATATGGCAACAAAGAGACAAGAACTCTTGCTCAAATTGTGTCAATAGAAAACTTTTTATTATTTATTTACAGTATTTGTATTAGGATATTTAACTCTGTAGATTTATAAAATATTTTGATGAGGGCAGGTTAACCACAACCTTAAAAGAGAAACAGAAAAACTATATAATATAACAGAATATCATTTTATTTGCAAAGGATCAAAGTAATTATAGAACCCTTTATGTAATTTGGTCTTAGTCTAAGACAAGAGAAATTTACCACTTGTGTGACACAAGATATGCCTCTCCAAATGTTTTACTAGGAGTAAAATAGCACATTACCTTAAGCTAATAGAGCAGGACCTGCTGACCATTCCTGTGTTATCCTGTCGTTTTTGGTACTAAGTTGCTCTATCTTCAGTTCCTGTGCTATATTTCGTTATATTTGTCAACATTTTAAACCTCCCTAAAGCTTAGTACAATGTATAAAGAAAGTGACAAATATAATTCCTACCCATGTTAATTGAGCATAGTTCATGAATCCTAGAAACGCAATTTAAAGGTATCAGTGATTGTGTAGATAGATACTATATAGGGCAGACAAATCAGTCCCCAAAAAATAAAAACAGAAAACTACAAAATTATATGTTATGACTTAAATCATAAATAATTTGCTTTGAGTTTTCTCTAAGATCACTGGTGAACTTGTGTGGTTCAATAAGCTTGGTACAGCACTTTCGGTAATCCACAACATTTCATTCCTTTTTTAGTTGCATTTACCTGATTTGTTAAATGAGCATGGAGCATGACCTGAAAGAATTATTCCTTTATTTTGATACAATCTCCACTTATAAATTGCACCTGTTACATTATTGTATATGTAGTAGAGTATTTGAAAATGTTAGTTCTGGTTCTTAATTATCTAACTTTGACTCAAAAACAATGTTAAATACTATGTTTTTTATTTCTGTTTGCCTTGTTTTGTATGTAAGACAGGTTTATTTTCCATGAAAAGTTAAAATTTTGTCACTCCACTATAGCATGCTGACACGAAGCCTGCTAACAAATTTCAGGAAGCTATTATTTGTAGATTCCTAAAAATATGCAATGAAAATTTCGTACATGCTCGTTCCATTTAGAATATATAAGTATTTGGTCACCAGGAAGTTGATGAGCGATGAATCAGAAACCCTGTCACCCTGTATAGCATGCTGACATGAAGCCTGATAATAAATTTCAGGCAGCTATTGTTTAAAGTTCCTGAAAAATATGCAACAGACGGTTATACAGATCAGTAAAACAAAATACCCTGGTGCCATCAGAGTGGGGATAGAGTTGACCCTAACTTAAAAAATCATTTCTGCAAAAATACTGAAATAGGTGCACAATTAATAATTACAAAAGGTTAGGTGGAAGTTTTATTGAAATGCGTTCTGTGATTTATGAGGAGGTGCCAACTTTGTAAGTATGGAAGATATCCTTGTTTTTATATGACCGCAAAAAATTTTTGCGGTCGTATATTGGTATGACGTTGTCGTCGTCGTCTGGCGTCTTCCGCATACACATTGGTTTTCGCACTCTAACTTTAGTTTAAGTGAATGGATCTCAATGAAATTTTACCATAAGGTTCAATACCACAAAAGGAAGGTTGGGATTGATTTTGGGGGTTATGGTACCAACAGTTAAGGAATTAGGGGCCAAAAAGGGGCCAAAAATAAGCATTTTTGTAACTTCCAGACATAACTTGTGTGTTAGTGTATGGATCTCTCTGACATTGTACCACAAGGTTCTTTATCACACAGGGAATGCTGGGATTGATTTTGGGGGTAATTACCTCAAAATATTAGGAATTAGGGGCCAAAAAAGGGGCAAAAAACAAGCATTGTTCTAGTTTCATGACAATAACTTGTGTGTAAGTGTATGGATCTTTCTGAAATTGTACTACAAGGTTCCATATCACAAAGGGAAAGCTGGAATTGAGTTGTGGGGTAATTGCCCGTAACGTTTAGGAATAAGGGGCCAAAAAGGGGCCAAAAATAAGCATTTTTCTAGTTTCCAGACAATAACTTGTGTTCAAGTGTATGGATCTCTCTGAAATTGTACCACAAGGTTCCATATCACACAGGGAATGCTGGGGTTGATTTTGGGGGTAATTGCTTCAAAATATTAGGAATTAGGGGCCAAAAAAGGGGCAAAAAACAAGCATTTTTCTAGTTTCATGATAATAACTTGTGTGTAAGTGTATGGATCTTTCTGAAATTGTACTACAAGGTTCCATATCACAAAGGGAAAGCTGGAATTGAGTTTGGGGGTAATTGCCCAAAACGTTTAGGAATAAGGGGCCAAAAAGGGGCCAAAAATAAGCATTTTTCTAGTTTCCAGACAATAACTTGCATTCAAGTGTATGGATCTCTCTGAAATTGTACTGCAAGGTACCATACCACAAAGGGAAGGCTGGGATTCAGTTTGGGGGTGATGAATCATAAGGGGGTTCAAAAAATTTGGGGGGGGATTTTTTTTTTTTCCTTTTTTTTTTCTTTAAAAATTTTCCATTTTAAGTTGGTTATTTCTGTTTTATATTTGAAAGCAAATAATAATGATATGGTAGGAGATACACACCAAACAGGATGACTTTTTTTGTGTAAATTATTATATAATAAGTATTGTGCAATAGCAAGAAATTTTCAATTGCACAGTATTGCACAATAGCAAGAAATCTTCAATTGCACAGTATTGTGCAATAGCAAGAAATATCCAATAGCACAATAATGCGCAATAGCAAGAAATATTCAATTGCACAGTATTGTGCAAAAGAAGATACTTCGTATAAATTGCTTATTTCTTGACCAATTTCAATGGGGTTTTATTCTTGAATTCTTAGGGTTCTTTAATATGCTGATTCTAACCGTGTGTTGAGTTTTTGGATTTTGGGCTCCGTTTTTAAATTAGTCCACATTGAGGTCCAAAGGGTCCAAAATTAAACTTTGTTTGATTTCATCAAAAATTGAATTATTGGGGTTCTTTGATATGCCGAATCTAACCGTGTATTTAGATTCTTAATTTTTGGTTCCATTTTCAAATTGGTCTACATTAAGGTCCAAAGGGTCCAAAATTAAACTTAGTTTGATTTTAACAAAAATTGAATTCTTAGGGTTCTTTGATATGCTGAATCTAAACATGTATTTAGATTTTTGATTATGGGCCCAGTTTTCAAGTTGGTCCAAATCGGGGTCCAAAATTAAACTTTGTTTGATTTCAACAAAAATTGAATATATGGGGTTCTTTGATATGCTGAATCTAACCATGTATTTAGATTTTTGATTTTTGGGCCCCATTATCAACTTTGTCCACATTGAGGTCAAAAGGGTCCAAAATTAAACTTTGTTTGATTTCATCAAAAATTGAATTCTTGGGGTTCTTTGATATGCTGAATCTAACCATGTATTTAGATTTTGGATATTGGACCATAATAGGTGAATGTCCAATTTAAAATTTTTAAGTTCTTAGACCACATTCATTCTGTGTCAGAAACCTATGCTGTGTCAAATATTTAATCACAATCCAAATTCAGAGCTGTATCAAGCTTGAATGTTGTGTCCAGACTTATTGCCCTAAATGTTTAGGAATTTGGGGCCAAAAAGGGGCCAAAAAACAAGCATTTTTCTAGTTTCCAGACAATAACTTGTGTTCAAGTGTATGGATCTCTCTAAAATTGTACTGCAAGGTACCATACCACAAAGGGAAGGCTGGGATTGAGTTTGGGGGTGATGAATCATAAGGGGGTTCAAAATATTTGGGGTGAGGGATTTTTTTTTCCTTTTTTTTTCTTTAAAATTTTCCATTTCAAATTGGTTATTTCTGATTTATATATAAAAGCAAATAATAATGATATGGTTTGAATAGGTAAATTAAAAATTTATAAGTTCTTAGACCACATTCATTCTGTGTCAGAAACCTATGCTGTGTCAAATATTTAATCACAATCCAAAGTCAGTGTGTATCAAGCTTGAATGTTGTGTCCATACTTGCCCCAACTCTTCAGGGTTCGACCTCTGCGGTCGTATCAAGCTGCGCCCAGCGGAGCATTTTATTTCAATATGTAACCCCAAAAATCATTTGAATAAAAAAATCTAATTTGAAAATTTTATTACAGAATTAAATATTTTTATGAAACTTCGGCAGGAACTTTCTTTAGTTTCCAACTATCAAACATTGGATAAGAGCAAAAAATGATGTAAAATAACAAAGAAAGTGAATCTTGCTTAACACTTTGGCTAGTGCAGTCAAAATATTGGGTTCTCATAATATTTTTGACAAATTTATGAAATATTCACAAATTTTAGTTAAATTTTGGCCGAACTTGAATATTCATTAAGGTAAACGTTTTTTCTCTCCCTTGTGATTAAATTCACAGAATGCAAGACATAGAGATAATAATCCGGCGGTGACAGGGATGGCATAAACTATTTGTATAAAGCTTTATATTTAGGAAGGTATAGTACCTGGATGCTTCATACACCTTTTGTTATGAAGTTTTTGTCAGTCATATGTCCATTGTCCTTGACCTCATTTTCATGGTTCAGTCACTGCTTGAAAAGCTAGATGGAACCACACGAATGGCCCCGCTTGCAAAAAAATCTTGAAGCCATTTTTAGGAGTGGAAATTTTCAAAGTCTGTAATTGTAGCAAAAATCAGCAGAGCGTAACCAAAGGTAAACTCAATGATCTGTAACTCATCATAGTAGACTCGCATAAAATCAGTGGAGGAGAACCAAACTTAAACTTGATCTGTAACATGTCATTGTAGATTCACATAATAAAAATCAGCTCAATGTGAAGGCGTTTAGAAAAAAAGTCTGTATAACTTACTTTCATAACATTTTCAAGTCCAAAGCCCGTAATTTCAGCAAAAATCAGCAGAGCGGTACCAAATGTAAACTCGATCTGTAACTCATCATAGTAGACTCACATACTAAAAATCAGCTCAATATGTGAGGAGCTTTAGAAAATAAATGTGGATTGTGTCCACATGTGGACACAGATGATGCCCCCGCTTGCATATCATATAGTTATAAAGGGACATAACTGAAGAACGGTAAAAGTGAGGCTACCCAAATTTGAACTTGATCTGAGTTTTGTGGTAATAAGCATTGTGTGTAAGTCTCATAACATTTAGTTGAGGCTAACATAAGTAGAGAACAGAACCTAAAAATTCAGCAATTTTTATACGACCGCAAAATTAAAAATTTTTTGGTCGTATATTGGTATGACGTTGGCGTCGTCGTCGTTTTTACCATAAGGTTCAATACCACGAAAGGAAGGTTGGGATTGATTTTGGGGGTTATGGTACCAACAGTTAAGGAATTAGGGGCCAAAAAGGGGCCAAAAATAAGCATTTTTGTAACTTCCAGACAATAACTTGTGTGTAAGTGTATGGATCTCTCTGACATTGTACCACAAGGTTCCATATCACAAAGGGAAGGCTGTAATTTATTTTGGGGGTAATTGCCTCAAAATTTTAGGAATTAGGGGCCAAAAAAGGGGCAAAAAACAAGCATTTTTCTAGTTTCATGACAATAACTTGTGTGTAAGTGTTTGGATATTTCTGAAATTGTACTACAAGGTTCCATATCACAAAGGGAAAGCTGGAATTGAGTTTGGGGGTAATTGCCCGAAACGTTTAGGAATTGGGGGCCAAAAAGGGGCCAAAAATAAGCATTTTTCTAGTTTCCAGACAATAACTTGTGTTCAAGTGTATGGATCTCTCTGAAATTGTACTGCAAGGTACCATACCACAAAGGGAAGGCTGGTATTGAGTTTGGGGGTGATGAATCATAAGGGGGTTCAAAAAATTTGGGAGGGGGGATTTTTTGTTTTTCTTTTTTTTTGTTTTTTTCCTTTTTTTTTCTTTTAAAATTTTCCATTTTAAGTTGGTTATTTCTGATTAATATTTAAAAGCAAATAATAATATTATGGTAGGAGATACACACCAAACAGGATGTGTAAATTATTATATAATAAGTATTGTGCAATAGCAAGAAATTTTCAATTGCACAGTATTGCACAATAGCAAGAAATCTTCAATTGCACAGTATTGCGCAATAGCAAGAAATCTTCAATTGCACAGTATTGCGCAATAGCAAGAAATATCCAATAGCACAATATTGCGCAATAGCAAGAAATTGTCAATTGTACAGTATTGCGCAATAGCAAGAAATATTCAATTGCACAGTATTGTGCAAAAGAAGATACTTCGTATAAATTGCTTATTTCTTGATCAATTTCAATGGGGTTTTATTCTTGAATTCTTGGGGTTCTTTAATATGCTGAATCTAACCGTGTATTAAGTTTTTGGATTTTGGGCCCCATTTTTAAATTGGTCCACATTGAGGTCCAAAGGGTCCAAAATTTAACTTTGTTTGATTTCATCAAAAATTGAATTATTGGGGTTCTTTGATATGCCGAATCTAACCGTGTATTTAGATTCTTAATTTTTGGTTCCGTTTTCAAATTGGTCTACATTAAGGTCCAAAGGGTCCAAAATTAAACTTAGTTTGATTTTAACAAAAATTGAATTTTTAGGGTTCTTTGATATGCTGAATCTAAACATGTATTTAGATTTTTGATTATGGGCCCAGTTTTCAAGTTGGTCCAAATCGGGGTCCAAAATTAAACTTTGTTTGATTTCAACAAAAATTGAATATATGGGGTTCTTTGATATGCTGAATCTAACCATGTATTTAGATTTTTGATTTTTGGGCCCCGTTATCAACTTTGTCCACATTGAGGTCAAAAGGGTCCAAAATTAAACTTTGTTTGATTTCATCAAAAATTGAATTCTTGGGGTTCTTTGATATGCTGAATCTAACCATGTATTTAGATTTTGGATATTGGACCATAATAGGTGAATGTCAAATTTAAAATTTTTAAGTTCTTAGACCACATTCATTCTGTCTCAGAAACCTATGCTGTGTCAAATATTTAATCACAATCCAAATTCAGAGCTGTATCAAGCTTGAATGTTGTGTCCATACTTGCCCCAACTGTTCAGGGTTCGACCTCTGCGGTCGTATCAAGCTGCGCCCTGCGGAGCATTTTATTCTATTTGTAAACACGCATAACTCTAAAACGGTTGTGTATAAGTTTTAGAACATTTGGTTGAGTCAAACTAAAGTAAGGGAACCAAAACGAAAATTCAGCAATTTTTATGTTCATAAAGGGACGCCCCCCAATTTCCTACTTAATCTGTATTATGTAGTAATAAGCATTGTGTATAAGTTTCATAAAATTTGGTTGAGGCAAACTAAAGTTAGAGAACGGAAACAAAAAAATTGTACATTATCCTAGTTTTGAGGTAATGAATATTGTGTATAGGTTTCATAATGTTTGGTTGGGGCAAACTTAAGTTACAGAATGGAAACTAACAATTTTGCAATCTTTCGATATATAAAGGGGCATAACTCAATAATGGTTGAGTGACACTACCCAAATTCAACTTGATCTGTGTTTTATCAGTGGAAGGCAAAATTAAACATTGCATTGTATAAAGCATTGATTGTAGTTGATTCAACTATAATCATAGACAAAGGAAGATAATCCCATTTTAAATAATTACTAGAATAATGACATTGATATTTTTAGAAATTACATTTAGTTAAGAACAGTAAAAGTGACGGCAACAAAATTCAAACTTGATCTGTATATTGTGGTAATAAGCATTGTGTATAAGTTTCATAACATTTGGTTGAGGCAAACTTAAGTTAGAGAACAGAAACGAAAAATTTAGCAATTTTTCCATTTGTAAAGGAGCATAACTCTAGAACAGTAAAAGTGACACCACCAAAATTCAAACTTGATCTGTATTTAGTGGTTATTAGCATTGTGTATAAATTTCATAACATTTGGTTGAGGCAAACTAAAGTTAGAGAACGGAAATCAACTTTGGGACGTACGGACGGACGTACAGACGGACAAGGGTAAAACTTAATGCCCCCTCCGCTACGGCGGGGGCATAAAAAGTCTGTATAACTGTTCTTTGTGGAATGACGGATAAGGGTAAAACTATAATGGCCCTGGCCGAAGTCAGTCGGTCCATAAAAAAATAGTTTATTTGTTATGTGAATTTCTCACTTATTTTTTTATATATTTGGTATATGGGTTCCTTGCAAGATCTGCATGTCCATCAGACAGGGTTCATCTGACCTTGACCTCATTTTATGGATCAGTTATAAAGATTAAGTTTACATGGTCATGTCATTATCTCAGATACAATAAGCAACAGATCAACTATATTTGGTGTATGGAATGATTGCAACGTGTACCCGTCTGTCTGGCAGCTTTTATCTGACATTGACCTCATTTTCATGGTTCATTGTTATTTTTTCTGATTTGTTCTATTTGTTAGATACCATAAGCAATAGGTAAACTATAGTTTGTGTGTAGAATTATTGTAACATGATATGTCCATCTGGCAGGATTCATCTGACCTTGACCACATTTTCATGGTTCATTAGTCATATGTAAAGTTTTCATGGTTTTGTTTGTTATTCAAATACTGTTAGAAATAGGTCAACTACAGTTGGTGTATGCAATGATTGCATGGTGTACATGTTGTCTAGCATGGTTCAGTGTTCTATTTTATTTTTTTCTGATTTGTTCGATACCATAAGCAATAGGTAAACTAAAGTTGGTGTATAGAATGATTGTAACAGATATGTCCATCTGGCAAGATTTATCTGACCATGACCTCATTTTTATGGTTCATTAGTCATATGTAAAGTTTTCATAGTTTTGTTTGTTATTTAAATACTGTTAGCAATAGGTCAACTACAATTGGTGTATGCAATGATTGCATGGTGTATATGTTGTCTGGCAAGGTTCATTGGTCAATGTTCAATTTTTCTAATTATATTTGGTATATGGGTTCCATGCACAGTCTATATGTCTGTCAAACAGGGATCACCTGGCCTCAACCTATTTTCCTTGATCAATGTTAAGTTGACTTGATCAAGTCCATATCTCAGAGTAAATCACCTCTGATTTGCCATAACTTAGAACCATCCTTCATCAGGAAGATATTTTATAGAATTTAAGTGTACCTTTATACTACAAAGGAAGGTCGTCCTGAATATGAATGTAATATTTACCACTGGGCATCAAGCAAATAACAAACAATCTATCAACATTGTAAGAATACAAGCAAGAAAATTTCTAAACTCTGCAAATCTCAAGGATTCCCCATAAAAAAATTACAATTAGACACTAGTCCGATGCCCCAGACTAGTAAAACTTTTCTCAGACTACCGGTAGTAAGTATTGCAAATTTTGTTTAGACAAATCAGAAAAATATCTGAATATTGGTCTTCGGACTAGTATGTAGTTGGAAAAGATTTTGGTGCAGACTAAAATTAGGGCATTTAAATTCAACACAAGATCTAGAAGTCATACCAATAAGGGACACATCAAAATATGAGAACTAAGTCCTCAATAACAGTAAAAGAGAGGCGAAAGATACCAGAGGGACATTCAAACTCATAAGTTGAAAATAAACTGACAACGCCATGGCTAAAAAAAAGACAAACAGTAGAACACAAAACACAACATAGAAAACTAAAGACTGAGCAACAGTAAGAAAATCATTAAAATTTTAATAAAAACATTTATCCTTGTGAATCCAAAATCTCTTTATTTTTTTTTTACCTTTTAAAATGATAATGACTATGCCATGATTTAAAGCATACAATTTCCAGCAAATTGTATAGCTGATTATCAAAAAGTATCAAGAAAATAATATGCACTATGTGTCCTCTTTCACTGCAGGTTAAACTGGTTTTTGTAAAAAAACAAGCATCTGACAAAAAAATCATACAACACTGTTTTAATTTAAAAGAGCATTTTCATAACAACTATTCCATTCATTCTTTTGGACCTGAAATTAATTTACAGCAATGTTAATACATATACATGTACTATTTTCTGATGGTGATGGTATATCATATGCTCTTTGCCCAAAGAGCCCATTCTTTTGTCCATTCTGATACATTTTTCAATTCTTCACGTGTTGAAAAGAACTTTCTTTGTTTTAGAGTTTGGTAAATGATTTCTATGTTTCAGTCGTCTAACTGACTCTCGTAAATGTTTGGGATGAATTGGTCCTGATTCTCCCCACTGTTCCATGATATCAAGAGCTGAAATTCAAATAACAACAAAAATAAATTTTCTTGGATGTATAATGAGGTAATTATACTATATAAACAGTAAATAAGTATTTAAAACAATGCACTGAAATTTTCACGACCAGTTACCTCTACTTATACTATACGCTGCATTAAACTCCATCTCATTTGAGAAACAATGGTTTTTACATTAAAAATAAGTTTCTACCAAAGAAATATGGTAATTTAAATTAAATACTTAATAAAGTGCTCCGCTGGGGCGCAGCTTGATAGGACCGCAGAGGTTGAACCCTGAACAGTTGGGGCAAGTATGGACACAACATTCAAGCTTGATACAGCACTGAATTTGGATTGTAATTAAATATTTGACACAGCATAGGTTTCTGACACAGAATGAATGTGGTCTAAGAACTTAAATTTTTTTAATTTACCTATCCAGACCATATCATTATTATTTGCTTTTATATATAAATCAGAAATAACCAATTTAAAATGGAAAATTTTAAAGAAAAAAAAGGAAAAACAAATCCCCCCCAAATTTTTTGAACCCCCTTATGATTCATCACCCCCAAACTTAATCCCAGCTTTCCCTTTGTGGTATGGTACCTTGCAGTACAATTTCAGAGAGATCCATACACTTGAACACAAGTTATTGTCTGGAAACTAGAAAAAATGCTTCTTTTTGGCCCCAAATTCCTAAACGTTTAGGGCAATTACCCCCAAAATCAATCCTAGTATTCCCTTTATGATATGGAACCTTGTGGTACAATGTCAGAGAGATCCATACACTTACACACAAGTTATTGTCATGAAACTAGAAAAATGCTTGTTTTTTGCCCTTTTTTGGCCCCTTATTCCTAAAATTTGGAGGCAATTACCCCCAAAATCAATCCCAGCTTTCCCTTTGTGATATGGAACCTTGTGGTACAATGTCAGAGAGATCCATACACTAACACACAAGTTATGTCTGGAAGTTACAAAAATGCTTATTTTGGCCCCTAATTCCTTAACTGTTGGTACCATAACCTCCAAAATCAATCCCCACCTTCCTTTTGTGGTATTGAACCTTATGGTAAAATTTCATAGAGATCCATTTTCTTAAACTAAAGTTAGAGTGCGAAAACCAATGTGTCTTCGGATGACGACGACGACGACGCCAACATCATACCAATATACGACCGCAAAATTGTTTTGCGGTCGTATAAAAACCAATACAATTTTACTTCTATCTGTTTCAATTGTAAAATAGTAAAATATGGTAAAGTTGAAATCACTTGAATATTATTACAACTGCAATCATTACTTGGCTGCAGACCATAACAAAGAATAGTAAACTCTCTTTGTCTTACGCTCACTTGACAGGAAACTACATATGAGTTGAAATCTAGCTATGATCCAGAATTTTGCTAGATAAAAATATTAGACAATTTTGAAAATTTCAGTTGTCACCAATCCTAATGGTAATAAAAGTATTTAATTTCCAAATAATGTTTGCTTTCTCAAAATATTAAATACCTATATATAGCTGATAAAGATTGAAATCAGAAATAAGATGGTTTTAACACATAACAATCAGTCATTGACTGATGTATTGATTTATGACACTTTTCTCAGAGATTATTTTTATTAATCAATTTATGGTCACCATAATCAATTAGTAACACATTATTCTATGTCCTTTAATTAGCTTTATATTGATGAAAAATGGGGATTAAGTTAGTAACTCAAAATTATTTCATCGGCATCATAACAGAATCTTTAAAGTGTTCCCTGTCAGAAAAAGGTTGAAAAAATACAAACGCACAAAGAGAAAATTTAAAAAGTAATATACAAGATGTATATATACAATTTTACACTGCAAAATTATATCTGCTTGTACACCATTTAACTGTAAGATAAGCTGTAAAAGTTTACATCCCTATCTATTTAATCACCAGGAGAGATAGGTGCCAGAGGAAGCTTTGTCTAGCCAAATAATGCATGAATATATATCTAAAATATAAAAAACTATTTGACAACACTTATAAGTGTGTTTCAGTGACCTTTTAAGGCATTTATATACATGCAGCTCCCTTAAAAAAACATTGACTTTTAATTTCTAACAAGGATTAAAAAACAATAAAAACGTGGAGTGAAAAGAATAAAACATGACACACAAATTCTAGCAAGTGAAATATTTGTATATATATGTCAATATGACCTTTGACGAAACTTAACCTTGCAATGAAATTAAAATAAACCATTTATGTGCTACATGTGTATGTTTATGACAATACCCAATTTAGTTGTTCAAATTGCTTCATTGTAAAAACAAATAAACTGTCAAGATAAAGAACAGCAATAAAATTGTCTTTGCTTTGATATTGATTATTTATTAGTATTTGATATTAAATTTTTATCTCATAATTGTTCAACCAAAATGTTTTCTTTCATTATGTTTAATTCTCTTGCATACATATTTTTTCATTGAAGATTAATAAAACTATTAACAAAATTTGCTGCCAAAAAAAACAAACCTAATTCTCCATTGTTACATTAAAGTTTAAAAAAAATCCAACCTCATAACCGTAAAATATATCTCCAAAGGGTCTAAAAATCATTATGAATAAATTATAAAAGAAGATGATAAACCGTCAATATAAGTATTACCTTCCTCCACAACCTCACCAACAAATACCTTGGCTATACCAGACATCGCAATCACAACATTCTGTGATACACTGGATTTGGTGATGGATTGCATCAGCTACAAAATTATATGCATCATCATCATAAACAGGCAGAAAAAGAACTAATAAAAATGGTTTTACATTTGTCATTTTGGGGAGTTTTGTAGCTTGCTATGCAGTATGGAATTCCCTCATTGTTGAAGGTCGTACAGTGACGTATAGTTGCTAACTTCTCTGTCATTTGTTCTGTGGTAGAGAGTTGTCTCATGGTCATATATTTTTGTACCATGTCTAAGAAATGTTTTCTTATTTTTAAAATGACAGTTTAAACCAAAACACAATGGACTGAAATAAAACTTATCAATCACCTAAACTCATCACAGGGCTGTGCAATGTTCTCCCCAGGTCTTTTAGCAAGATTATGGCCTGGGTAATGTATTGCTATATTGCTTGAATATGATGCTATTGGAAATTATTTTCTAACAGCTATCAAGATTCTATTTTCGATGTGATTCTTTTTCTTCAAATTATCAGGAGGCCATATGACAATTTAATTGAGAACCCTGCATGTTTATGTATACAGGTACATGTTATCCAATATCCCTTACAGATATATAATTCATTTTTTAACAACTTTAAATGGTAAATAAATAAATAAATGTGGATAGTGTCCACATGTGGACCCACAGATGATGCCCCCGCTTGCATATCATATAGTTATAAAGGGACATAACTGAAGAACGGTAAAAGTGAGGCTACCCAAATTTGAACTTGATCTGAGTTTTGTGGTAATAAGCATTGTGTGTAAGTCTCATAACATTTGGTTGAGGCTAACTAAAGTAGAGAACAGAAACTAAAAATTCAGCAATTTTTCTATTTGTAAACACACATAACTCTAGAACGGTTGTGTATAAGTTTTATAACATTTGGTTGAGACAAACTAAAAAATTCAGCAATTTTTATGTTTATAAAGGGACATAACTCAAGAATGGTAAAAGTGTCGCCACCAAATTCCGTACTTACTCTGTATTATGTAGTAATAAGCATTGTGTATAAGTTTCATAACATTTGGTTGAGGCAAACTAAAGTTAGAAAACGGAAACAAAAAATTTGTACTTGATCTTAGTTTTCTGGTAATGAATATTGTGTATAGGTTTCATAATGTTTGATTGGGGCAAACTTAAGTTACAGAATCGAAACTAAAATTTTTACAATCTTTCGATTTATAAAGGGGCATAACTCAATAATGGTTAAAGTGACACTACCCAAATTCAACTTGATCTGTGTTTTATCAGTGGAAGTCAAAATTAAACATTGCATTGTATAAAGCATTGATTGTAGTTGATTCAACTATAATCATGGACAAGGGAAGATAACTCCAATTTTAAAAATAACTTGATATTTAGAAGAAAATAAAAATTTTGCAATTTTTCCATTTATAAAGAGGCATAACTCTAGAACGTTTAAAATGACGCCACCAAAATTCAAACTTGATCTGTGTTTTGTGGTAATAAGCATTGTGTATAAGTTTCATAACATTCTCATAGCAAACTCAAGTTAGAGAACAGAAACCAGTTTTGGGACGTACAGACGGACGTATGTACAGACGGACAAGGGTAAAACTTAATGCCCCCTCCGCTACGGCGGGGGCATAAAAATCGTATACCATACCTATACAAGTTTTACTCATTCATTAATTTCACTTTGATACAGAATATTTGTTATCATAGTTACTTGTACATGAAGCTATCACTTATCACTATCACTATGTATCATATGGGATAAAAGATTCAGGATATATAAAATGTGAGTGAAGTCACAATTAACAGTGCAAAGTCACTTGTATTTCGCCCGATATCAAAATCATCAAATTGGACATTTCTATTTGTGTTGTTAGCTAGGAAATTTAATGAAATCATTCTAAAAGTAAGTCTACATGTATTTTTATACTTTTTATCATGAAACAATTGGTTTTCAAATATTTTTGCTGTGACAAATCAAAATGGCTGTCTTTATACGTGTCTTATATAAGGTCTGCTTCTTGGTACAAAAGATCTGAATTTTCCTATTAGAATCAAAATAAGCCTTTCATGTCGTGTCATTTATATTGAAACTTTGATTTTATATGTCACAAAATCAAAGGTACAGTTTGAGTGATAATTTTCAGTTGATGAATTATATACACCTATGGCCATTTTTTCAAAACTAAGTACAAGTAAAATTGATCTCAACTTATACTGAATTTTAACTTTATAGTGATTTTTAATGTAAGATTTTTTGTGAAACTGTTACATTTTTTTGTATTTGACTAAAACTTGTTTCAAAGAAAATTCTTCTTTAAATGGTTCTGGCAATTTGCTGTTCTATTAAAGCCCTTTTTTAATTGTTCATGCTCGCTTCCCATGGTCAGCTGAGCATACCTGAAGTGTACCACAGAACCATACATTGTGAGCATTAAAATGAGCATCTGACACCCTACGCAAAAGTAATGCGTTTTTCACATATTTGCAACATTATTAGAGCAGGATATGCTTACCCTTTATGAGCACATGATTTCATCCTTGGTTTTTAGTTGAACTCATGTTGCTCAGTTGTTAGTTTTCTATGCAATGTTTTGTGAACTGTCGACTTTTTGTTTATAATTTGCTAATGGTGTTGGCTGGCCTAAGTGGCCTGTTTCAACATAATGTAATGTTTATGTTTAGATTGACCTATTTAAGGCAACATACATTATATATATTATATATTACCCTTTTAATTGAAGCTTTTGGAAATGCAGCTCTTCTGTACATTTCATATCTATTAAGCTGATCTTCTGTAAAGTTAGACACCAAAACCCTGAAATATGCATTTGAATTATACAATACTTTTTCTTTAAACTGCAATAAAAAGGCAAACCAAACTGGGAAAAAGAAGTTGATATAATCTTTCTTGTCAGCTAAGTCTTCCTGTCCTTTACAACTGACTAGGTCACTAGTATCATCAACACCTAGCAGACAATCAAGTTTGAATCAAAGTCAAATCCTGTTGCTGTTTTTTAAAAAATCATATCATAAAAAATGTATGCATATTTATTGTTTGAAAATTTTACAGTTATATAAAATTAGGCAGGGGCCTAAATTCCATTAATCTCCACTAAGAACACTACACTAATGCAGAAAAATAAGATTGAAAGAGAACAATGTACATGTATCTACCTTTTGCATAAGGTCCAGAGACACAGTTATTATCCTTTGGGTTTCGTTGTCCACAATAATAGTCCCTAGTGTGGACAGTATACATCGTAGATTGCAAATTTTTTCATACACCTTCCAAATTATTTTTTTTATATTTCATGCATAAAATAGAAAGTACAAGTATACGTAGGGGATGAAATTTCATTTTAAAAAAGGGTCATGAGTTTCAATGTAAAGTAAAGATTTAGTCCCATTGAAAAAAGGAAAAAAAATAGTATGCTTAAGGCTGTAATTCTGAATTATAGACCCCTCTTGGCTCTACATAAAATTGTCAGTTTTTGAGTTAGAGCTGGTGAATTTTTTTATAATTTTGATATAATTTGTCCCAAAAGTACAAATGCAGTACTCTTCACTGTAAAAATCTTTTTGAGATGGAGCAGGTGTGATTTTTTAAAATTTGTGTTTATTGTCTTAAAGAAACCACTACAAAATTACTGTGTTCTCTGGCCATAATTATGACTGCCATTTTGTCATTCAAGAGACTTGCATAAATGAGACAAAAGTTGTTTTCTAATGTAAAATAATGTGTTTTAAATTAGTATAAATGCTACATAACTCTAAACTACATTCTATGTTATCAATTTCATTTTTTTTATGCACAATGCATTTGGGTCTTAGGTCCATTACAGAGTTTGTATGGTTTTGATAGGTTTTCAGGGATTCAAAGTACATGTACATGTGGCAAGAAAACAGTGTATCCAGAAGTACATGTACATTGTACATAGGCTGTAATCATGATGAGCTAGGTATTATTTGGATTTATATAGATTCCTCGTTAGCATGATAAGAAATCATCAAAGCATAAATATTAATATTATCAGGTCTATATAAAATATTAATATTTTCATGAATAAAAATTCAAGAATTTTTTTGATAAAATATTTTTTTGTGTGATAAGTTGAAAAATTATAAATTGTTTATGATTACTGTATGTTAATTGGTATTTTAATAATTTACATTTTAGCTAATTTGAAAATCATGATTGTTATTATAACTACAATGTAGCTTTAGTGTAAAGTAAGATACATGTAGTTAGCTTGGTATGAGTAAAAACAATGAAGATTTTAAATGAAAAACATTAAAGATAATTGTTTTTTATACAGTTTGGACCCTTTGATCTTCAAACGTCTTTAAACATGGAAATAAATACTCTGTAGGAACTTAAAGCTGAAATATAAACCAAATACACGTGCATTGTGGATGTTGTGACCTTGGTTTTGTGTTATTCTTTGTTTCAGTGTCATTATGAGTTTGATATCCATTCGGTATATTCCACCTTTCTTTTGCAAGTCTTATATGAATAAACTTGGCATTAGATCATGACAATATTCATTAGTTATAATTTACAAATCACGAATGGTTTATATTTTCTGAATGTTGTTTTCTTTTAAAACAATAAAAAAAAACTTGTTATCTTTATTTTATAGCAATACACTAACTTAAACACAATTACTGTAAACAAGGAAATTTTCGCGGCAGTTTTATTTTCGCTATTTCGCCGTAAGAATTGAAACGCGAAAATAAAACGACCGCAAAAATTTCAAGGAATCTCTATTCATAAGATGAAGACCATAAATGTATGTATATGAATAGGATATGTAGAGGACCACTGTATAACACGGATTTTACAGACGACAGATTGATACCTCAAATCATAACTGTATTTCTAAATGAAATGCAATATTAGAAATCATGATTTTAACTGAAGTTAATCTCATTAACATTAAAGACATCTCAAGCAAGCGGACATTACGGATATTATTATGTAAACAACACTCGTCACAAATATGTAAATGACACCTGTCAATCAGTTATAAACGTATTACCTCGTTGAATCAGCAACACAGGTTAATAAGATCAAAAGATCGATTAATTAGCCTTAATCCTGACAGCATTTTATTTAATTCACTCTGAATTAGTTTTTTTTTATGTTATTGTGTATATGTGGTTTGATTCCGCCAGTGTACTTTATCCGGCGGAAGAAAATCCCCAGTAATTTTTATCCACCAACGAAAAAATTCACTAGGTTTTTCTATCCGGGTCCAGTGTAAAACATCCACAAGTCATTATAAGGTTCTAAAAAGGGTTTTTTGAAGGGGAAATATATATAAAATGTGGCTTTATAGTTTTTAGTGTATTTGAAACTTGCATAGTTGATTTATGTTAAAAGTGGAGAGTTTTCATCCAAGGAATGTTCACACTAGTGTTTTCAAACAAGGAATGATTACACTAGTGATTTTGTACCGGAATGATTGCACTAGTTATTCTATACCGGGATTAATTACACCAGTGCTTTGGATCCATCCATACATTGATGAAGTGATAAGTACTCATTTTCAACGCACGATATAAACACAATAATGCTTATTAAGTATAAGATTTAAATAATTTTTCTATGCAAATCTATCAAATCATATGCTTTTAAAATTATCACTAATTGTAATATTTATTTTTACTGGATTGCCGAACTATTTCTGTGTATTTGCTTTTCGGTCGACTTGGATATAAAATCATATCTTCTATGTCAATATCAAAGGATGCTTCTATAATTGAAACTTTATGTAAGAACAAATCTGCTCTTTAAATTTGGTTTGTATCATGTTCAATGTCCTGATCATAGATAAAGTATTTTGAGTTATAAAAACATCCTTCTCATTATCATCAATATTATTTACTAGATTGACTCAGATTAATTAAACTGGTTCCTTGAAAATCATTTTAATTTTAACCCATTTATTTATGTAAACAATAAACCGGTCTAATATCAACAAAACAAGGATATCAAGATTGACGCTTTCACACTATTTACATCCAATATTCTCTAGTGAAAAACAGTTACTCTGAATAAATACACGGCGGAATGAAAGTACGCTTGCATATATGTTTTTACAAGCAATCATGATTCAACTTTTAATCTCTTTTAATATTAATGAACCGAAAACAAAAGATTTCATATTAATTTTATCACTTGATTAACTATACATGTACATGTAAAGCTGTTCACTATCTATATCCTTTATGAAAATATTTATATAGGCCACAGGGTAATCGCGAATTCAAAATGGCGCGAATTAAGATTATGTTCATAAAACGCGAAATAAAGACGACAAAAAAATTTCCCGGTTTACAGTAAAAAATTCAAAACCAAAACTTTAAAAAGAATGCGAACGTGTAGCATGTCAGCGTGAAATGGAGGAAACATTATTGAGGAGGAACGAACACAGATTGAAAATTCAAAGGGGTTATCATTATTTGGATTACATTTTTTAAACAATGTAGATATCGGAGGGACAGATGAATGGAGATCACATGTACTATACAGCAATCATCCAACTAATTGTTTATTACGTACTGCATCTTTAATCGTTCTTCTTCTTGTTTTTCTTTTTTATGTTTATTAGCGTGTTCCTCCTCTGGTGTTTCAAGCCTTCTTTTCCTTTCCTGTGAAGGACTAACACTTGATGCTTTTCCATCAGATTTGGACTCCTTAAGTTGCTTCTCTGGGGTTGTTTCACTCTCTGATTCAGATTGTCCTTCCTTCTCTACATCTTTTTCCACTTTAGGAGAGATTTTCGGTGAATCACTTGGCTGGCTCATTTTATTTTAACCCGGAAGTGAAAATCTGAGTACAAATGCACTTTCAAGTTTGATGTAATTTATGTTTGTTTTAAACACATGTGTGACAGGCCTAATCTCAGATGAATTATTTTAAAAGTTGACGTTATGGCATCTTTTTTAAAAGATTAATCGATTAGTTCAATAGGAAAATACTCAAAAGGTATATGATGACTTTGAAGTTGTACACTTTTGACCAAAAGTGCACTTTTCTCTCCGCCGAAAGCGCATGAATAACAAGTGTTCAAAATGTAAACAAAGATTCAGCATTATGGTTCATGATTCCAACTTCATTTTTATTTCGTTTATTAACTCCGAGAAGACGATGATATGATACTATAGTTCATAAATAAAGATGATTTCTGAGCTGATTAATACTAATTTGGTAAAGTTTGATGAACTATTTAATGACATGATCGGCGGATGACCTCATTTCCGGTAAGAGTAAACAGTGAAATCACCTGGACATTTTATCAAGCAAGGAAAGAGAACGGGAAAAGTGCCTGACAGTCATCTTTTCCATGTGAATTTTCACTTAACCGCTGAAATTTGGAGACTTAAGAATAAACTCCTGAAGGCCCGGGTAAGTAAATTATCATCCGTCATAACTGTCGACCAGAAAACGGATCAGTCATGAGTGATTAAAGCCCCACGTTATTCTCTTGGTATTGTCTGTTCAGTATGAAGAAATAATAGTGTCATATTGTATTACTTACAACTAAGAAATCAAAGTTAAGACTTGAAGAAATTTGAGAAGTTTTAAGATCAAAATGATTGAATGTCAGTCTAACTCAGAAACTTTTGAATGCATGTCTGCACTAAATAACTGGAATAATGGACAAGACCAAACTTATAGGAAGTAAAATTGGTTACTGGAAATCTTAAATAATACATGTATGTTAAAAGTATGACATTTTTATATTTGGGTTTAAACGAGTGGGATAAAGCATCAATTTCATCAATTTATAAAATCAGTTTTCTTCCAAGTATTTTCAAAAAGCACCATGTATCATGTGTATGGGATTACCACCGTCTTCCTAAAATAAAAGCACAAAATAATGAAACATATTCATACAGATAATTAATTCAAATACATGTACGTTCCATTATGAAATCTATTCACATGATTCAGATTTAACAACATGGTGCTGTTACACAGTGATTTTGCTAGCGCTCGTCACTTCCGTCATTTACGAAACTGTTTTCAAAATAACGAAAGTATTTCAAATCAGTTTCGTCACTTGAATTTTGAAAGTGTAAAAATATTTTCGCATTGAAAAACAATTCTACCTGTCTTTATGTTTCTGACAAGTTTATGACCCTCCGCTAATTAACATTTACAACAAGTGTTATAAAGTTGTGATTACAGTTAATCCGCTTATCGCCATTGGATAGGTCACTAATCTGTTAATTATTACCAAACTTCATAATTGACCATCATAATTATTCTCCCCAGTTAAATCAGTCAGTCGGTATTTAAATTTCAATATTTCCAAAGGCCTTCGACCACAATTTGCAGTTCGTTTGTCGTAGTTTCGTCATTTGAACAAAATATTGTTTTCCCCCTGACAGTTCGCTTTTTAATTTCAATGTTTCTAAAATGATCACAATTTGCAGTTCGTTTGTCGTAGTTTCGGCAAATGATCCTATTTTCGTCATCTTTGATGTAAAACTTTCAATTTCGATTAAAAAGATAGAACTTTATTCAGAACGTTCAGAAATGTTTTCACGAGTCAAACAGGTGCTTCCTTTCCGATGTACTGCGCATGCGTGAAAGTATTCCTATGAATTTAAAGACACTAAAACGTAAAATACAAAATAAATTTAGTATCAAAATAAATGAAAGAGACAAATATAGCTCTTAATAAGCAAATTAAAATAAAAAAATGATAATTTCCTGCCTTTTTTAAACACGAACCAATCCGTAGATGAATCCGGATTCATTTTGAATTTATAATTAATCTACTTGTCACTTCCCGTTTCATTTCATTTGAAAATCGAAAGTAAACGTGATCAATTCTCGATTACAATTTGCAGTTATTAGAATCGTTCCAATAAGGATTTGTACAAATCCTTTGTTCCAACTGACAAATTGAAGCCATTTTTTGTTGGGCACATGAAACTTATTGAAGTGAAAGTTAGTCCGAGATTACTCTGACGTCCAACGGCTATATCGCCAGACAAGCTGGGGCCGTAGTGAAAGTTTGAACTAGATTTCCAGATTTTATATCCTAATCTTCATTTTTGAAGTGCCACATCAGTCAAACCATTGCAGTTACTGCCTAGTAAATTTATGCCTTAGTCCTTCAAAGTTTGACAAAGATGTATAGCTAGTTATATACACACATCCTTGGTCCCTTTGCTGTTACCCAAAATAATGTTGATTTTCATCTCGCGCAAAAGTGACTAAAGCCCTCAAAATCCTAGCTTAAACCCTGCTGTTACATGTTAGTTTGCATGTTTTACCTTTCACATGTTTTTTACACAAGTAAAATCAACTAAGCAACTGAATTGTAAAATCAAGCTTACAATCAGCACAATCAGCACAATTTGGGAAAAATAACTTTCTGTTTTCCATACACCACATACTAAAAACAGTTCATTTTTCTCCAAATTGCACCGATTGTAAGCTTGATCGTTCTGCTTTTAGTTGCTCTTATAAATAATTACCTGACCGAGTACCAGGAATTTATGTCCTACCACAGATTCTTGATTATATTTTTATATCTAATTTATTTGATAGTGTTTGCCACTTTCTGCTTACATCTGTACATGTGTGTACATGTACATCATTGAATTTCATTGCATCCAGTTTTTATTGGTGAAGGGATTCATAATCAAAATCTTCAGCAAACCACTGAAAAGCACTTTCACACACCAAGATTAATTTTCCAATCCAACAAGTTCCTTCACACACTTAAATTAATTTTCCAATCCAACAAGTTCCTTCAAACACGTGCACTAAGATTGGTTTCCTATCAGACAAGCTTCTTCACACACACACACAAAGATTGATTTCCCAATCCAACAAGCTCTTTCACACACACAAAAGAATTATCTCCTAATTCAACAAGCTCTTTCACACACACACAAAGATTGATTTCCCAATCCAATATGCATTTTCACGCCTGAAGATTGATTTCCCAATCAGACAAGCTCTTTCATACACAAAGATTAATTTCCAAATCAGACAAGCTCTATCATACACAAAGATTAATTTCCAAATCCAACAAGCTCTTTCACACACATGAAAATTGATTTCTGTACTATAGTGGTTATAGTCTGGAGTGAATTCTGTTTTCAAAGTTTTGATCAAAACATTAGAATAAGAAGATGTGGTATGATTGAAAATGAGACAACTCTCCACCAGAGACCAAATGTCATAGGAGTTAACAACTATAGGTCATCATATGGCCTTCAACAATGAGCAAAACCCACACCACATAGTCGGCTATAAAAGGCCACAAAATGACAAATGTAAAACAATTCAAACCAGAAAAGTAACGACCTGATTTATGTACAAAACAATGAAAGAAAAACAAATATGATATACAGCAACAAACAACAACCACTGAATTACAGGCACCTGACTTGGGACAGGCACATACAGAATGTGATGGGTTAAACAGGTTTGCTGTGCCAAACCCTCCCCCTAAACTGGAACATTGGTGTTACATCACAACATATGAACAAACTATAAAAATCAGTAGAAAAGGGCTTAACTCATCAGATCGATACAAAGCAGAAAAACGAGTTACAAAAACACAGACTGGATGTGGTAGGGTATTTACATCCCCACAACAAAGAAGACACAAAGTACAAATCTGAGAGAACTCACATTTACTTGACAGTTAGTTCAAAGCCAATGACAATTAATAAAAACAATCGTGGATCTAAATGTAAGACTAAAATATCAGTCAGTACACATCCAAAATCCAAAGGAATTAGTGTAAAGTCAGATTAACAGTCAGAGAAAAACATGATCTTGTGCAATGTCAAAATATAGGTATCAACAGGTTGCAGAACAGTAAATGTGCATATGTATTTTATATAACAATAATATTAGTTTGGTTTTAATTTACTATTAACAAAATTAATATTTATACCAATAAAAACAATATTCAAAGATCAAAGACAGTGTTGAATTGGTAACCTTTTAGAATAAGTTTTTTTAAAGGATCGATAAGTTTACCCAGATGGTATTTAAATTTCTGGACTCTGTAAACAACAACTCTGTAAAAATTAGGATGTGCTATTCTGTTTGATATAAGTTTTCTACAGGTAAAGCCAAACTTCCAAACCAAATCTTTGTATCAATGGAAGAATTTAGTAGGGGTTTAAAGTGATTAGTGGTAACAAAATCCCTGACTTTATAAACACTGTAATTGTGCAAAGGAACATCACCATCCAAAAAATTTAAGTGGAAGAAAAAAAAACCACAGATGAAAAATTCTTTAAGAGCAGAGAATACATCATATGCAATGCTTATTGATAAAATAAATTTTTTGTCCCATGGTCCAAGTCAGTAATAGTAGAATGCTGTGATTATTATACATTTGTAATAAGGTATGGCATTTATTCTACATTGACACCTGTTAATTTTGCAAATAAATGCTATAATTTACTTAACGTAATTAGTATACATTCCTGAATCTGCATAAACTTTGTGTTAGCTTTATGTCAACAAGAATATGTTCAGTTGTTTATATAATTCATTGGTAGAATTAATTACATGTACATAATTGTATGGATGTACAATATTAAACAAGAGGAGAACAATACAGATGTTTGATGAAGACCATGTATTACATAATACTTAAGACTGAAGAATGTAGTTGGATAAATGTTCGTAGTAGTCATTTTGATATTGATTTCATACAGCCGTTGATCTGTCTTATGGATTTTATTGAATAAATTTCATTAAATGTTAATATGACTGCGGGTAAAATTTTCAATTGTTTGAATAAAAGAGATGTGGGGTAAATGTCAATCATTGTCAATGAAACAGCAACTCAACACATAACTAAGTCTTTAATTGCGAGATGGTTCACAGTACATTTTCCCTTCTTAACAAGTAATTGCTACCCCCTAAATTAAGGAAATGCCCGTACATGTATAATAATTATAAGGTATTCAAAGAATACTTAAAAAGACCCTTTCAAAAATCTGAAAGTATTTGTCTACATAAAAGACAATGGCATCCCTACATCAGAAGGTCACCTTATAGCCTTCAACATTCTGAATGACAGACATGAAATTGTTCAGTGTTTAAAGAACTTGTTTATTCACTCAATTTAGAAAACTAAATATCTGACATCAGCAACATTGTATTCTGGAATCCGGACCCTCTTTCTTCCTTTTAGATCAGTTTGGGGAAAATGAAAATATAAACTTAAAAAGAACTCCAAAAACAATCGATTCAATTAAATAAAATAGTCTTGCACAATACCAAAACAGTGTTACATTAGTATACATTTTGTAATATAAAAAAAATGATTTAGATACTGACTGGAATTCAAAGTATTCAATAATGTGTGGATTATTGAATACTGTATTACATGTACATTACATATATGTACATGT